ATTTAGGGTAATAGCTTTTATAAAAAATTATTTTAAAATAAAATAGCTTAAAAAAGCCTTTATTATATTTTTAGGGCTTTTTATTATTATTAAAATAATATAATATATTTAGCTTAAGCTTTTTATATAACCTATAAATTATATTACCTTTAATAATATTAAATAAGGCCTTGGGATTAAAATCCCCTTTAAAAATAATATTTAAGTTAGGAATTTTAATTAAAATAAGGTTATTAATATTTTCCTGTGTAGTAAACCTTTACTTAAGCTAATAAAAAATATAAAAATAAGGTAAACCCTGCTTTTAAAACTTAATAATAAAATAATAGGTAATATACTTACTAAAAGTATTATTTTTAAATTTTTAAAGTATTATTTTATTTTTTATATAAAATATATAATATACTAAATTTAGCTAGTCCTGCTAGTATTATATTAGGTTATTATTATTATTTTAAATAAGCTTTTTAATAATCTTTTTCTACCCTAGATTAGCTATAAAAGTAATAAATAAAGTTAGGGTGCTATACCGCAGCACCAGGGCTATAAAATTATAATAAAACTTATATATATACTAGTTATTACCCTTGTAATTAAAGCCTAAAAATATATACTTATTAATTTATACTAAATTATAATCTTTATTTAAGGCCCAAAAAGCACTACTATAATTAATAAAATAATAGGTTTTTTAATTATAGCGGATGCTAAATAAATATAAATTTTTTATATATAATTAAATATTTATTAAAAACTATTAAAAAAGCATGCCACCCTAGTGTAAAATATTAAAACTTTTTTTATAAGTAAAAATATAAAACTAGTAAAATATAGCTATTATTACCTAGTTTTAGTTTTTATTTTATTCCTATTTAGTTTATATTAAAGTATAAATTTTTTATTTATAAAAGTAGCCTATCCCACCCTTAGCGTAAAAAGAATATAGTAAAGTAGTAAATAAAATAGGTAATTAAAATTAATTATAGTAAAAAACCACTAAAGTGCTGGATTATTTTTATTTTTAGTAATAAAAACACTAATATTATAGGGGTTTATTTTAAGGTATAACTTAGTTAATAAGGGATTATTAAATAGGTTTAATAGCTTTTAAAAAAAAAGAACAAGATTTTATTTAGCTTTTATTAAATAAGTATTATTAGTAATAATAGGGTTAAGCTAACGCTTTAAAAAAAAATTATAAAAATATTAGGTATAAAAATATTTATTTTAAATATTTTTAATTAAAAAAAAAGGTTATAGCACTTGCCTAGCTTATTATTAGCTATAAATTATATTTAAAATATTAATTATAAAAAGCCAAGGTTTATATTTTACTTAAAAATAAACTTAGCTTAAAAAAAATATTATACTATAAGTTATATACATAAATAAACTAATTAATTTACTTTAAGGCCTTTTTAACCTTATTTAAAAATATATTACGCCTTAAATAATATTTAAGGGCCTTAATAAAATTAAGCTAGTATATTTATATAAATATAATATTATTACTTTTTTATAAATTACCCAGGGGGCCTATATAATAATAAATAAACTTTTATATTTAAAATATATAATTAATATTATTAAAACTAGCACGGGCACAGTGTTTTATAAATAAACTAGTATAGGTAAAAAAGTTATTAATTAACTAAATATTATATATAAACCTACTATACTCCAGGGAGTTTCTACTAAAAATTTACTAAATTAGGAAGTTAAGGCTAGGCTTTAGATAAAAATTAAAATTATTTTAAAGGTTTATACCACTAGCTATGTAGTATTTTTAAAAATTATAATATTTATTAATATAGTTAAAAAAAGTATTTAAATACTATATAATTTTTTTTATAAATAAAAAGTAATATCTTAGGTAAGTAATCTTTATATAGCCTAAAATTAATAGTATTTAAGTATTATACTTAAAAAAACTAATAATTATAACTAGGATATTTTTTAAAGCCCGTGCTAGTATATTTAATAAAAGCTTTTAATAAAAAATATATTTATTTAGTAAATTAGCTAAATTTAAAACCTTTTTATAAATAAAATACTTTTAGGTAATAACTACCTAAAGCTAGTTATATTTTTAATATAGCTTGTAATAAGTATAGTAGCTATTAATTATTTAATAATTATATTAAGCCTAATAAGGGCGCTTTATAATACCTAGTTAATTAGCTAAATATAATTAATTATAAAAAATAAAAAAAAAGGTTATTATATAGCATAAATATTAGTATAAACTAGGTTAGCTTAAAAATAGCTATACCCAAAGAACCTGGCGCTAGGGGGCTTAATATTAAGGTTAATAATAATATAAAAAAAAATAAAAATAAAGTAAACGCAGGAGGCATAAGCTAGTAAATTAAAATAGTAATAATTATACTTAAAATAGGATCTAGGGTTAAAAAAGGCTAATAAAAATTATTAATAATAAATTAAATATACTAAAAAAAAGTATATAAAAATAAGATTAATTATATAAATAAGGCACTTATAGCTCCTGGGGTTATAGCTATTATAATAATATACTTAGTTTTTTTTTAAAAATTAGTAAATTATAAGTTTTATAAAAAAATAAAAAAGTAGGAAAACAGCCTATAATACTAGTAATTAAAAGTATAAAAAAAAATAAATAAAAATAAAATACTAAACAAAGTATAGGAAGGCATGGTAAAATAGCTAAATTTATAAGGTAAAAAGTATTATAAATAGGGAATAAAGCTATACCTAAAAATAAAATAAATAATAAAATTATACTAAATAGGGTAAAAGACTAAAAGCAGCTAATTATAGTAAATAATATAAAAAAGTATTAAAAAAAATAAAATATATAATATAAAAACTATTAATTTTATACTTATATAACCTACCTTTTTATACCTATATAACCTATTATTATTACTTATTATAAAACTTACTAAAGCTAAAAATATAAACTGCATGGCCTAATATAAAAGCCTAAATAAATTTATTATTAAATAAAATAGCATAAATCTTATAAACCTAAATAATTTATTTTAAAATATATACTAGTATGTTAATTACCTTAACTTAAAGTTTTATTTATATATTAATAACCTATTTTATTAATTAAAGCTTAAGAATATTAAAAGTAATTATAAGGTAAAAAATAAAAGGCTTTAAAAAAAGATTTAACTATTTTATATTAAAAATAAGTAAAGGGGATTAACTTATACACAGGTATATTAAAATAAATTAAAGGTATAGTATTATAAAATAAAGTATTAATAAAAAGCTAAGGCTAAGGCATGTTAAAAAATACTAGCTTAAAAATTATTAAGTAAATAAAATAAAAATAAAGTATATAAAATTATTATATAATATAAAAAGTAAAAAATAAAAATTAAAGTATTTATAATAAGTATATATATTATTATAGCATGCCCTATATATATATATATTAATAAATAGCTAAAAATATATATTATAAATAGCACACTATTATTAAACCCTGTAATAATATTAATAATAATAATATTAATAATACCTATAAACCTTAAAGCCCTAGAAGTATAAATTATAATAAACCCGGCCTAAATTAATATTAACCCGCTAACTTAAATACATAAAAAATATATAATAAAAAAGAATAATAATATATAAGAGGCGGTATAGCAGTATATATAAAAAAAAATTAATAAGCTAAAGGCGTGTATATAAAGGGAGTTACTTGTATTATAAATAAAAATAAAAAAAATTTAATAAGATTAAAAAAAGCGCCTAAAAAAAGCTTAATAAAAAGCTTAAAAAAATAATAAAAATAATAAAAAAATTAATAAGGTACCTAAATAAGGGCTGGTACGCTAGGGCCTAAAAATTAAAGCTTTTTTAAATTAAAGTTTTTTTAATATAAGTAAATTTACAAGCCTAGTTTATATAAAAATATTAACTATATTATTTTTAATATATATAAACTAGGCCCTTTAAAATAATAATTATATAAAAAAATACTTATAACTATAAAAAAAAAATAGCTATAAAAACTATAAAAAAAATTATTAAAATTATAAGTAAGTATTATATATAAAAAACATAGTTTTTAAAAGCATAGTAGCCAGGGTAAATAAAAAATTATAGGGTATAAAAGTAATACCTATTAATATTTATAATACCTGGTAATAGTAGGGCCCACTAACTAATTAAGGAATAAATAAAACCAGGCTATTATAGTTATAATATAAATATAATAGCATATAGGGGGCGGTATGGTAGTATATATAAAAAAAGATTAATAGGCTAAAGGCATGTATATAAAGGGAGTTACTTGTGCTATAAATAGCGATAAAAAAAAAGTTTAATAAAATTAAAAAAAGTGCTTAAAAAAAGCTTAATAAAAGGCTTAAAAAAATAATAAAAATAATAAAAAAGTTAATAAAATACTTAAATAGGGGCTGGTACACTAGGACCCAGGAATTAAAGCTTTTTTAAATTAAAATTTTTTTAATATAAGTAAATTTACAAGCCTAGTTTATATAAAAATATTAACTATACCGCCCTTAATATATATAAACTAGGCCTTTTAAAATAATAATTATATAAAAAAATACTTATAGCTATAAATATAAAAAAAAATAGCTATAAAAATTATAAAAAAAATTACTAAAACTATAAGCAAGCGCTATATATAAAAAATATAGTTTTTAAAAGTATAATAGCTAGGGTAAATAAAAAATTATAAGGTGCAAAAGTAATGCCTATTAATACCTATAATACCCGGTAATAGTAGGGCCCACCAACTAATCAGGGGACAAATAAAACCGGGCTGTTGTAGTTATAATACGAATATAAAGAATATATACACATATAAAAGCATCCATGCCCTATTATCCAGCACTCTCTACATTTAATTGCACTGTATGTACTCCACAGTACACCTAAAAATCCCCGTCAATTGAATTTCCCAAGATACCATAAGCATACACTATGTAAGTAACAAAACAATATAATACAGCTTCCCAGCGCTCAGACTTCGCCTAAGCCGACACCCCAACATTCGCACTGCTCTCAGCCGTCCTCTCCAAAACTAGCCTCCGAATGCGCCCAATGTGTTCCTGCCCGTGCACAGGCGTCTGAGATTGGGTGGCACCGCTCTCAAGCCTCCTCTGTTCCCTGCGCGCCGCTTTCGCTACTCGCTTCTCAACGCGGATCGCATTTCTCTCCTCCCTGGAAAGAACAGCCGGTCTATCCTTGATAGTTTGACCAAAAGGGGCAATGATACGCTCGACGACGTGATGTACGCGACGACTCTTCGGGTACCCGGACGAGAATTCAATCACGTCGCCTTCGCGTAAAGAGTTCTGAGGATCTGAGACCATGAATGTAGTGACCTTAGGGTAGTTCTTGCGCAAGAAGTCGTCCCAGACATTATGGCGGTGTTCAACGCGGACGCAACGATCCATCCGTCCGACAGAGACAACTGTGCCCTTCTTCAATGTGTAGGGGTATTCGCGGAGAGATGGAGGTTCGGCGGAGGGTCGGACGCTTGATTTAGTTTCTTCTTGTTGCTGCGAAACTGTTCTTGGAGCAGAAGTGATGAGTCGGCGGGATGGAAAAGTTGGTCTGTTGCATTGCAAAGCGGCGGGGGATTTTGAGGATAGGGACAATGTTGACCGGACGGTAGATGATCGCAAGGGCTGCATTGCTCGTAAAACTTGACTAGGCGCCATATTTGCTGTATGTGATCGATCTGCTGCAATCAGGCGTGAGCCAACGTTTGAATTAGTGTATTACTTCGAAGAGCAAGTCTTACTGGTCGGGGAAAATGTGAGGAGCGAGGCGGAGATCTTGCCGCGATTTCACTGCAGACAGGATTGAGCAGCGTAGAGATTGGCAGCCCAATTCAATGCGCCGGGTGTCTATGAGCGAGAGTTTGAGGTTGCAGGCGGTTTAGATAGAGTAGGCAAAAGCTCCGCAAGAGGAATTTCGGATTGACGGGGGTTCTGAGTTTGTTCTGTTTGCAACTACCTACCGTAGCCAATCAAGACACCTCACTCCTACGGAGTGCTTCACCAACCCTGGCTGTCAAGTGATGGCGATTTTGGTCTCCCACAAAAAATCTTCTGCTGCCCATCCGGGGATGATGCGAGTACCACTTTTGCACCAGTTACGGGGCGCTCACAGTCAAAGAACAAAGAACGAGCTAGAACCATCACTGGGTTACTTTGACCGATCCCTCGAGGAGTCGAGAAGTCTGAACCCTCGGGATGATTGCATCTTGTTGGATACCGTCAAAATGCGCTAGACGCTACTCCATGCCTGTGCTTAGCGAAGGGCGCTTGGGACTTTCCATGAACCGAGAGAGGGTGATGCATGTGCCCTCGAATGGATTGGATCTTTGTTGGTTTCTTGGAAAAATTTCCGAGTGACCAATCCATATACTGTGCTAAAGAACAGTGTTACAGTTTCCCATGTGAAGCTGAGTGGCTGAATGGAAGAAAGGTGGGAGGGGCGGGCCCATATGAATGAATCTTTGGCGGTTCCCTGACCAGGTTTACAGCCATCCTAAGTCCAGAGGGTATGGCTTCCCACAAAGAGAACGAAGGGAAAGCGCTCTCAAAACGATTTAATGTTGCCAGTGCTGAAAATGGTCGTGTGAAAATGACTGCTCTGCAGTCGTGCTAGGACACTGGGGGTATCATGGACTTTCTGTTTGAAAGAATAGACGGTGCACTCATGGATGAACTAATCATTGTCTTTTCGCAGAAAAGGCGTCCCAAGTGCCCACTCGAGCCACGGTCAGGAATTGGGGCGTTGCATGTTCCATCAAAGGATGAAAAGGAGGTTCCCAGTGCTTTGGTTGACAGAATAGTGTGAAAAGGCGGATATAAATAAGTAGCGAGTTTCCCGAACATGCTCTATTGCACAAACCGAATCTATCGTCACAAGATCTTCATCTACGCCTTCTTACGGAACCTTTCATCATGGAGGAAATTCAATATGATCGGTTTGGATTCTTGGGGATGCCCACGACACTCCCAGACCGCATCCCCGCGAAGCCAGGTAAGATTTCGACGATAGGTTGATATGATGGATGCTGATACTACGGACAGCGGCCGACGTGGCTCGGATTTTGGATCATGCGAAAGTTCCCAACGTCCTCTGGGGCTGGCTCGCCGTTGGGCTGGTCGGACTCGACCACCGGTTTCCTCAAGTTGATTTCGTGGTCCCGGATGACAAGATTGAGGCGGCTAAAGAGGCTCTGATTGCTGGCGGATTCACTCTCTGTATAGACCAGGACTGCGCGGAACAAAAGGAGGATCGGGTTGCTCCAGATTCGGTTGATCTTCATGGACCGTTGGGTTTAAACGAGATGAATACTCTGGGCGCAAGGAACCGGTTTCATCCCATTGCCGACATCCACTTCCACCTTGAGCCGTCAAAGTATGAGTACTATAACGTGCTATCCCTGTTCATCCAGTCTAAGACTCTCTGGAGCGGGTGGTGGCCCGACTTGGTTCTCACAGATGCTTGCACGGACGCGAAATGCCCTGATACTGAACGGTTTCCAGCTGATCATCCTCATTTCATGCTTTCAAGTGATATCGACCTGTACAAGTGCGAGGATGGATCGGGGCCATGGGCGGAAGAGTTGTACGCCGTGAAGACCCTAAAGCCTAGCTTGTTGGTCGAGGCCCTGATCTACCTCTTTTGCCGCGATTGGGGCCATATCAAGTCAGTGGATGAAGGCTGGCAGGACATGATTCTCCTCGGGTTGGTTAGGGTCAAAAGGGATGACCAAGCTCGGTTCATCGAAAAGGATCTCAACCCCGTGCTTCAGCCGCTGTGGAACAACCTTAATTGTCGTACTCGGAAACCCGAGGGTGTAAATAAGTGGGATATCATAAGGGAATTTCGTCAGAGCCTCATTGACAACAATCGGATGCCACCTCTGCCGCCTATCGATTTGACCTATAGGTGAACAATGGTGATGTGGCCTGGAAATCCTTGCGTACAGTGGTAGCAACACTGCCGTACATGTGCAGGTGAGATTACAAGGTTCAACCCTCACATTTGTGGTCTGTTGTCGGTTCAAATGTTTAGTTTCCTTTGTGTTTTCTGATCTTTGATTACTTTCTAGTCGAACCACAAGGCTACTGTGTGAATTCAACATTCGAATTGCTGCACTTTGTCTCTATAAATGCTCACCTAGAATGCCAGTCAATACCAATAGTGAATCATGTTCCATTCTGCGCTCAGATGCTGACTCTTCTTTGGGCCGTCCTAGCTCTAAGGGACCATGAGGCGAAAGAGCACACTCAACCTGCACACCAGACTCTTTCTGTTACCAGATGTCTCAGCTCGTCAGCTATGCCAATTCCATGTGACAATGAATTGAGAGACATTGTATAAGCCACTCAACCTGCCTCTTTGTTATACTTGGACAATGAATCCTTCAGCTCTGCAGCCAGAAAAGATCAAGCAACGCCAGGGAGAACGGTATAAAAGGCCTCTCGTCTCTCCTGCGGACTACTACTTTCGATATCCAGAAATCACCGTCCTTGGTCTCATCAGTCGCTAATCCTCCAGTCCTCACAGCAAGCTGATCCTGACCTCTTACTACGTCGTCCATCAGTCCCGATATTGCATTGCATCGTCTGTCCGATCCTAACCTCCCACCACTCGTACCCCCAGTCCCGGCTTTTATTCCATCAGCTGTCGCCTACCCTACCTAGCCTTTCGTCACGTTCTTCACCCACTTCGGATCCTCCGCCATAGTATTCAACATCGCAGAAACCGACATTCCACCTCGTCATGGCCCAATTCGCCTCTCCGACCCTTGAGCGAACAACGCGTGCCGTTATCCTAACCCTCGCAACAGACCCTGGTTTCTGCCGCGCGAGGATAGCCATCGTGGGTAAGGCGGCTATGCTGCACCATGCAGTTGGCATTTCTGGCTCAGATGTCCGTCACTCCGCCCCTCCTCTTGCGTCCCAGGTAGATGGCATCCTGCTGACATGCTTCTGCCTCTAAACAGAGGTTAGAAATTGCGGTCTACTTTCGAGGCTGCCCTCCGGCGCCAGAGATCGAAAAGAGCCCTCTGGGGCTTCAAAACTTCTGTAGGGCTTCGCTGTGTAAAGGGAACCCTAGATTTCGGCATCTCACCGATCGTTTCCTCAGCCTCGTGGATACGCACACGAATGTGCCTATCCAATTTGTCACAAGTCCGATTGTACGAGTGCCTCCCCGTACGCAAATTCGCCCCTGCCAGCCATACTGACCATGTTTGTGACTATCTAGCTTCCATACATACCAGGTGCGTCAATAACGGTGCCACACGCAGCCAGTAACACCACCAGCCTCCCGTATGCATCACGGGACGACTGCATAGTATTCGGCATATACTTGTGCAGCCGGTTGCCCAGTGATGTACATCGGCTGGTAGCAGCCAGAGACGTCCTACATCTCATCGGTTCCCCACCGGTGCGAGCCCCTTTGGCTCTGGTCCATCAGAGGCTCGTGGTCTCTACGGAACTTGAGTTTTTTTGCGAGTGGTCGACATCCAATATACGCTTTTGGAGAATCATGTTAAATGTCTAATCTCTTTCCGAATTTGTTGATATTGTGGTGTTCGAGGCTGTTTTTGTTGACCCGGGTCTTCTGTCTTTGTCTTTAGACTACTGCTTTTGATAAAATGGATGCGTTTTGGGTTTCTTTTGGTAAACCTGACCTCATACTGAGATACGTAGTTGACGCTTAAGTACAGCATCTCAAGTACAGCAATTCAATCCTACAGTACCAAGAGGTGCAACAGAAATGGGGAATAACGCTTACAACTTGCTCTTCTTCTCATCCAGCCAGTAGCTCGTATCTGTTGATGCTCTTCTTGGAGAGGGACTGTCCTTAAGTAGGTAGCACTGCCGAAAAGCGTTTGTCTGCCGCTCACATCTCAAGATACACTCGTTTAACTTGAACTGGAGGATGCTGCATTCAGATATTCAGCCGTTCATAGGAACTCACCCTGCACATATATGTTATATAATCTAACAACATGCTAAAGATTGCTGCTCCTTCTAGCGACGCAGCGCAGCTGAAGTTATCTGGGTGGAGTCAGCGCGAAGGGTCAACCCCTGCCCTAACTCTCGCGAAGTGTTGATACAACTACTTCAGAAAGGTGACAACCAGAGGAAGGCATGATACAATGGAATGCGATGTTTTCTATTCACAAGAATGGATCAAGAGTCACTAAATACATAAGCCGACACCTCTAAGCCACTGTAAGTCAGGAGTCTACTTCATGTGCGAGACCCCAAACTTTTATTACCCTAATACCCACCCGTACGCAAGAAAACGGAGAGTAAGGATTATTCGGAAAGATCTCATCTAGTTCAAGGTGGAATGTTGTTGGGAGCCCCAGAATAGCGTTCGCTTTTCGGCGTTTTGGGTCCTAGAGGAAGTTTAACATGTTTCCAACCGCAGCCATCGTTCTCGTTATTACTAGCTTTTCCGGTCGGATAGGATTTTGTTGATTGATAGGCCTATTGCGACGAAGTCTCCGGCCCATTAGTTTCTCCGTTTACCTGCGTGTCTTTGGTGGGGAGTTTCCCCGCGGCTTGCGCCGAAATTCTCTTCAATTCGGTGACGAATGATTGGCCCCAGAAGGCACTGGTTATAGTTAGCAACATGTTTTAATCTGCAGCTAGGTGAAACGAACCTTGTGTACTTGTTGACGTATTTATCCAGCTTCGAAAAGTTGAGGGCTCGCTGCTCGTCGCTCATTGTGACTGCCTCGTGGTAGGCCGCTGCAAGCTCCTCAGTATTCCAAGGGTTGACGACTATGCTTCCGTTGAGACTCTGGGCGGCACCGGCAAACTCAGAGAGCACCATCGAGCCGTGACGTTTCTCCTGGGTGGCAATGTACTCGTACGAAACGAGGTTCATACCATCTCGAGTGGAAGAGACAACGCAAGCGTCCGATACAGCGTAGAGGGCAATGAGTTCATCAAAGTTGACCGACTTGTGGAGGAAATGGATGGGCATAAATTCAACAGTTCCTGACTTTGGGTTAGAAATAAATGCGCTAAACTTTGCGGGATCGACTTACCAAATTTCCCGTTAATTCTTCCTACAAGTTCGTTCACGACGGCTCTCAGATTTTGGTATTCCTCCACATCCTGACGACTGGGAACGGCAACTTGCACAAGGACCACCTTGCCCACCCACTCGGGATGATCGCTCAGGAACACCTCAAGAGCATGTAGCTTCTGAGGAACACCCTTGATATAATCCAACCGGTCAACACCCACCATGAGCTTCACGCCCTGAAACTTCTGTTCCAACGTTGCGATTCGCTTCTGGACCTTTTCCTTCTTCAAGCCCTCCTTGAACTTCTCTGGGTCAATACCAATAGGGAAAGCACCGCAGGCGACTATCTTGCCTTGGAACTCTATCCCATTAGGAGTAGTTGGCAGGCCCCTAGAATTATGTTAGCCCTTGCATGACCCAGGGACAAAGAAAGAGAAGACACGTACAGCAGCCGTGAGCAAGCGCTGAGGAAATGCCTCGTGTAGTCGTAAGTGTGGAAACCGATGAGGTCGCAGTGGAGAAGTCCAAGCAACAGCTCGTTTCGGACCGGCAGAATTCGGTAGATTTCACTGCTGGGGAATGGGGTATGGAGGAAAAATCCGATCTTAATGTTCTTCTTGGTGTTTCCGATCTCTTCCCGGAGCATCTCCGGAAGGAGCATCAGATGGTAGTCGTGGACCCAAATCAAGTCGCCATCCTGAACCTGGCTTGCGACGGCCCGTGCGAATAGGCGGTTTGCCTCCTTGTATGCCTCCCAAGCAGACTCGTCGAACGTGATCTCACCGGGATGGTAATGGAAAAGGGGCCAGAGGATAGAATCTATGATGCAGGACAAGCTCCGTCAGCATTGCACCGTTTACCCAGATGGTCGGAGAACACTGACTGGAAAATCCGTTGTAATGTCTGTCCGCAAGTTCGTCATCGATGAACACCGGGACAGCGTTATATTCCTCCTTTAACCGGTTCTTCAATGTCGGGATCTCTTCTTCTGGAACCTCCAAACCGGGCCAGCCGTACCATTGGAAGGTCGTGGTTTTCGATAAGCCACTCAGGCCACTAACCAGGCCACCGGACGACATTGAAAAGTCATATTTTCCATCTTCTGATCTCTTGATGGTGATGGGTAACCTATTCGAAACGAGAAGAAGTCTCGATTCATTTTGGGTGGAGTCCTCAACGCTGGGCATGGTGCAGGTCGTATGAATGCGGAAGCTCGTAAAGGGCGAAGATCAATGAGGCGATCGGTATGCGAAGGACGGCCGATACAAGGGCGAAAAGATATATGCGCAGAACCTTGCTTGAGATGGAGCTCAGTAAGAATATTGTCAAGCAATGACGTCGGTGAACGTCCAAGAAAGACTGCGACAGCGATAAAGAAAAACAAATGCAGGGGCAAAAGATAGATATATAAATCGGGCCTAGATATACGTGGAACAAATTGCTAAAAGAACATAAGGGTGCCCGCTTGTTCAAAGGCAGGTTGGCAGCTTACCTTTTCTTTTTGTATCTATGCGCGGGGGAGTTGGCGGTAGGAAGCCTAAGGAGGGGCGGAATGACGGAATTTGGGATTGGAGAGAAGCAGCAGAGTGTAGCGATCACAGGCTCTTCATTAACGAACTCATCGAAGACAAATATATGGAGATGGGCGCGATACGGCTTTGTCTTGGTTTTGTAGGGCAGAGCCAGCGCATCCAAGGAATGCTGAAGTGATGACGATACCACCAAACCGGGACGGGACAAAATTGGTCCAGTAACGATGAAGTCAGAGTGTTGACGGCATCTCAACCAGCCACTCAGCGCTCCTCTCTAGAGCCCACTGTGTCTTCCATGGAATCTTTCCCTAGCATTCTGCCAGGCATTATTATCCTTATCGCTATACATCCATGTTTGTGCCCAGTGGACCTAGAAATTTCTGGCTCTTACTTACAGCGCTTAGCTTTTGAGCGGGATTTGCACCGGTCCAGACAATCTGCCAAGGTCATTTTAATTTATTCAACTTGACGTACTACACCACAGCGATAAGCAGGGAGAGACCGCATTGGCGGCGCATCTTCTATTATAAGGCTGGCTTGCCCGTATTCAGGGTCCAGCGGCCCGAGTCCGTGTCATGGATGACCTTCCCTTCAACTGCCAACTTATTCAGCACCTGTATAACCCCATTCGCAGCGGGGAGATGGAGGTTTTCGGGGACATCTCGGTAAATTATCTTCACGATCTCAAGAGGTGTCCACCATGACTTCCGTTCGGGTGAGCGCTCGTGGTCCCCGACATCGAGTTTCCCGTAACGAAGCACCCGTATGATTTCGTCCTCGCGCTGTTGTCGGTGCCGTATGTACCCTGCTATTTTGGCCGTGGCACTTTCGACCACCGCCCCATGGCCGGGGTACCCTCGCCCAGATACACGGTCTTGCATTCGCTTCAAGCTGTCGAGATAAGCCTTGAGATCCTCAAAAACTGCCGTCCCATGCCCCAGGACATCTGTAGATTAGGAAATCAGCAACTTGGGCATAAGTCCGACACCACATTTACTCACTGTCACCCGTAAAAATTGCATCTTCTTCCTCAAACACAAACATCATATGGTCGACTGTATGGCCTGGCGTATGGGCGGCTTTGAGCGTCGCCCCTTCAACCTGGAAGACTTGCCCATTCTGGATATCCACCTGTCCTTCCCCAGGTTGGTGCTTGTATATGGTCACTTCAGGGCATAGTCTTAGTAAATCCGGGATGCCGCCAACATGATCATGGTGCCAGTGCGTTACAAGAGCCTGGTGGACCGTCGCATTCTCATCTGCCAACACTTTTTTCAAACGCGCGGCCCAAGACTGCTTCCCTTCCCCGGTGTCAATGAGGATACGTCGAGGCCCTTGGCCAATTAAATATGTGTTTGTTCCTACAAAGAGCGTTAGATATAGTGGGTTTGTCCCAGACCCGTAGTATGGATTAAACCCACCTTGTAGCGTAAACTATACCAGGCGGCGCAAAGTCAGCTTAAATGACTGCTACCGCGTCGAATCTGAAATGATAGAGCGCTTACAAGCCTCAGAGCAATTGCGAGCATCACACACCTTTCCAGGATTTCCTCCTAGGATACGGACCACCGAGGCACTGAGCCTTTCCACCTCAGGCAGAGGAACTAACTGAGCCATTTATAGATCCAGCTGCAATGATCTTTGGTTTAGAGAGAGCTGCAAACAGGAATCAGCACGGTCAAGAACAATCGATTTTTTACCTACCGAGTTGCAGCGAGTCGAATCACGGTCAAAGTAAGAGATGGTGTATTCTGAGGGTCTAGCTCTTAATGCAGGTAGTAGTCTATAATTTCATCGAGAAATACGGAGTAGATGCCCCATAATATACCCCAGTCACGGTGATATACTCATTGCTCAAGGCCGAGGCGGGGCAATTGGCCTCGGCCAGTCGGCAGAGCACGCGATCCTTATGTCATCGCCCACTGAGAGGTTGCAAGTTGATAAGCTACAACGGGTTACAGACAGTGAAACGCAGCAGAAGTGCATTTACGACGGCAGAACTATTGAAGTAAAGGAAATAGTGTATGGTATGCATCCAATCCCTAACATACAATGGACGATGTAACAAAAACAAGTGATATATCCATGTAGTCCACCCAAAGGGTGCCAAAACAACCCATGAGCAGAAAGCGATTCGTAAAAATTTTCGAAACCTCACTCCGTGATATCAATCATAGAAAGACCATTAGCAGCCATGATACTGCTTTTCTTTCTTCGCTGCTAACTGTTCAAAGCACAAGACACATAATTTACAGAATGTCGTTTAGTTGCCGGCCTTGCGGGCCATGGTGTTGAGGGCGGAGCCGTCCTTGAACCACTCGATCTGGGACTCGTTGAAGGTGTGGCTGAGCTTGACGTCGAAGGCGGCACCATCCTTGGGGTGAACACGGAGAGTCATGGGCTTGTCGACGGCAAGCTCAGTGCAAAGGAGGTCGACCTTAGCATCGTGGGGAATGCGGTCGTAGTCGGCGGGGTCGGAGAAGGTGAGAGGAAGCATACCCTGCTTCTTGAGGTTGGTTTCGTGCTAGAGGGATTTGTTAGTCAACGACTTCGTTTATATGATGAAGATGCATCGGGTAACTTACGATACGGGCGAAGCTGCGGGTGATGATGGCGAGACCACCAAGGTGGCGGGGCTCAAGAGCGGCGTGCTCACGAGAGCTACCCTCACCGTAGTTCCAGTCACCGATAACAACCCACTTGATACCACGAGCCTTGTAGTCACGAGCGGTAGCAGGGACAGCATCGTACTCGCCGGTGAAGACGTTCCTGATCTTGTTGGCCTCGCCGTTCTCAGCGTTGGTGGCGCCGATCAGCATGTTGTTGGAGATGTTGTCAAGGTGCCCACGGTACTTGAGCCATGGGCCAGCCATGGAGATGTGGTCAGTAGTGGTCTTGCCCTGGCACTTGATGAGGATGGGGATGTCGGTGGCATCCTTGCCGTCCCAGGCCTGGAAGCCAGCAAGGAGCTGCAGGCGGTCACTGGAGGGGGAAACGGCAACGTCGACGCTGCTGCGGTCGGCAGGAGGAGCCTGGTAGGTGTCACGACCGGGGTCGTAGCCACGGTTGGGGAGACCGTCACCGGTGGGGGCCTTGAGCTTGAACTCCTTGCCGTCCTTGTCCTTGAGGGTGTCGGTGAGAGGGTTGAAGTTGAGGGTACCAGCAATGCTCAGGGCAACGACAAGGTCGGGGGAAGTGACGAAGGCGTGAGTAGCAGGGTTAGCATCGTTACGACCGGTGAAGTTACGGTTGTAAGAAGAGACAATGGAGTTGGCGGTACCCTTCTTGACGTCCTGGCGATCCCACTGACCAATGCAAGGACCGCAGGCGTTGGCAAGGATGACACCACCGAACTCCTCGAGGGTCTTGAGCTGACCGTCACGCTCAATAGTAGCGCGGATCTGCTCGGAACCGGGGGTAACGGTGAAGATAGACTTGGATTTGAGTCCGTGGTCGAGAGCGTCCTGGGCGATAGAAGCAGCACGGGACATATCCTCGTAAGAGGAGTTAGTGCAAGATCCGATGAGACCGACCTTGAGCTCCTCAGGCCAGCCGTTGGCCTTGACAGCCTCCTTGAACTGGGAGATAGGGGTGGCCAAGTCAGGGGTGAAGGGTCCGTTGATGTGAGGCTCGAGCTCGGACAGGTTGATCTCGATCAGCTGGTCGTACTCAGCACCCTCATCCTCGCGGAGGTCCTTGGCGTAGGAGCGGGCGAAGTCACCGATCTGCTGACGCTTGGTGGCCTTCAGGTAGTCGTACATGCGGTCGTTGAAGGGGAAGAGGGAGGTGGTGGCACCAATTTCAGCACCCATGTTACAGATGGTGGCCATACCGGTGGCAGACAGGGAGTTGACACCAGGACCGTGGTATTCAATGATGGCACCAGTACCACCCTTGACAGTAAGGAGACCAGCGACCTTGAGGATGATATCTGGAAATAGTTAGTATGCAACTCCCTGAAACGTTGAAAAGTGTAACTTACCCTTAGGAGCGGTCCAGCCGGACATCTCACCGGTGAGCTTAACACCGATGACCTTAGGAGCCTTCAACTCCCAAGGAAGGCCAGCCATGACATCGACAGCATCGGCACCACCAACACCAATGGCAGCAATAGCGAGACCACCAGCGTTAGGAGTGTGAGAGTCGGTACCGATCATCAGACCACCGGGGAAAGCGTAGTTCTCGAGGATAATCTGGTGAATGATACCAGAGCCAGGCTTCCAGAAACCGATGTTGTACTTGGCAGTGGAGGAGGCAAGGAAGTCGTAGACCTCCTTGTTAATCTCGTTGGCGCGGGCAAGATCCTTCTCACCACCGAGCTGAGCCTCAATCAAGTGGTCACAGTGGACAGTGGTGGGGGTAGCGACGGAGGGCATGCCAGCAGACATGAACTGCAGGATGGCCATCTGAGCGGTGGCATCCTGGCAAGCAACACGGTCGGGGCGGAGTTTGAGGTAGGACTTGCCACGCTCGATCTCCTGGTTCTGGGGGTCGTCAAGGTGAGAGTACAGGATCTTCTCGGCGTATGTGAGAGGACGGGTCAGGCGACGGCGAACAACGTCCAGATTCTCGGACATCTTTCTGCAAGTTGAAAAAACATGTTAGTCGATGCCAATGACTGGAGCAAGCCAAAGGGCGGAACTCCGAGACTCAATCGACCAAAAGACGTTGCATACTTGTAGTTGATGTAGTTGCCCTGCAATGCGACCGTTAGCGGAATATGTCCGGCGTCACTAGCTCATCCGAGGCAACCGAAGAAACTACGGTAGCAGGAATAACCACTCACCTTCTCGAGATTGCACATCTCGACCTTCTTGTCGAGGTCGGCGACGGTGGCCATGCCCCGAGTCCGGAAGAGCTACATGGAGGTCAGTCTTCTCTCCTTTTTGTACTCTTCAAATTCCTGGAATTCCTCGAAATCCAGGCTGCAGAGTAAAGCCAGTATTGGGTTCTTACGAGACGGGACTGGGGGGCCTGCGAAAAAGACCATGTTAGCCGCTAAACGATCGATTCGTGCATGACCAGCGTCCATTGCGCGTAGAGCAGCAACTTCGAGCCAGCTATGCGAGATGACGAATATGGGGTACCTACCAGCGCACCCATGCGCGCAAGCCTTGTGGTGATCATGATGGAAGCTCTCTATGCAAGATGGCTAGGCCACAACACGCTGGAGAGCTAAACCAAGTAACAGCTTCAACCTGGGGAAATAGAGTGGAGAGTGAAGGGAGAAGGAAAGATTGAAACCCAAGGGAAGGTTGCCGATTAAAAGGAAGCTTGGGTTTTCAAGTGCGAGAATTCTTGTTTGACTGACCCTCAGGTTGCTCCTCTGAACCGGAGTGGAGGGCCCGTAACCGCTGCTTACCTTACAGCCGCTGTACGCTTTCGGGCGCCCCCGAACCAAAACATGCAACCGGAGACATGGAAGAGCAGGAGCCTCCTGCCGCGGCCATGAGAAGGAATATAGTTCTTTTCCAGCTTGCCGGTGTATAGGCTGTAATATGGCATCTACTGAACATAATTTCTAGCCTTGTAGCTCTACAGAAATGACATTCTATAGGTCTTTTTCAACACTGCTATTTAGTTCCCCATAGCGACAAGCATTACCACGTAATGTAAGTACGCTGCCGGTAACAATGGCATGTGAGACCGGTATCCTTAGTAGCCAATCACACTGTCCTGATTACACCCTGTCTGTTGAAAGAAGCCTTACATCATAGCCTCATCTCGAGGTGATGCAGCGTTTAATGGACTAAATAAAGCTCGAGAAAGGACGGCTGCAAGCCACACTCAGCGCCTACTTGCCTTGCCTTTCGCAGCTGACTAGCATGATCAAGTACACGAGCTCGAACTCCTGAAACTCGATTACTTTGCTTCTCCCGCAACTGGCCGGCGAAGATTCGGAGCGCAGGTGCCGAAGAGTGGAATCGTCATAAAATTACCGCCAGCAACAACAGTGTGGGATGGCCGTACGGAGAATCGCCCAAGGTAAATTGCTGACTGAGCCGAGCTAGAACCGAGGCTTACCGAATTGAGTACCGCCCGCGGTCCGTCGCCAAGACTCAAGCTGACCTGGACCAATCACACCCACCCAGTTTTTGCGCAGTGCCCTTCCGCGCACACAGAACGAACGATTTGGAGATTCCTGACCCGCTTTCACGCCGCCGCGGCCTTAGCTTTTTCCGTTTATCGGTGATTGAACACATCCATACTCTGGACGACGCTGTTGCGGACGAGCTAGGGTCTGACTTGGGTCGATAATCATCAAGATGGGCGCTGTGAGGAGAACCAAGACGAAGCGCAGAACCAGGTATTTTTCCCTCTTGCCAGACTTGCTGATGTTGCGATTGAACGGGTGGCGCTAACACAGATTTTTCAGAGACTATGACCAGGTCCGCGCGGATGTCGAGAGCTCGAAGCACCTTTCTCAGTACAAGGCGACCAAAGACCCCGAAGACCTCCCCGGCTTAGGGAAGCACTACTGCGTCGAATGCGCCAAATGGTTTGAGAGCGACTACAACCTTGTGGCCCATAGGAAAGGCAAGAATCACAAGAGAAGGTTTGTCCTGGCGCAACCACCTCGCTGACCCTGGCTAACTCGTTTCTTGGTTGTCAGACTCCGCCTACTACGTGAAGAGCCCCATTCGCAGAAGATTGCCGAGGCTGCTGTAGGCCTGACCACCGATAATGGCCCACGCCGGCAAGAGGGTGATGAAATGGTCATGGACAGCTAGACCTGTTGTCGTTGTCACCAACATGCATGGTCAGATCTACGGCCTTCAACAATCGGTTCAGTAAAGCAACTACGGGGTACGGGCTTTGCTCCTCTTTCGCAGGCAGCCCAATCAACCGGCAACAAGCTGCCTACACCCCGGTACACGAATGCGTGGTAACAGACAAACCACGCGGGATCGACTTCTAGGGCTTCAATCTTCAATGCGGGTTGTTGAAGAAAAAAAATTCAGCCAATCACAAACGTTTCAGTTATGGACAACACACGTGAGAAATAAGTGCCGAAAGTCGCTGGTTATACTACTCAAAACCGCCGAGTGCGCTGTCCGTTCCTCCCCGGCAATTCCGCCGGTTCTCGGAACTTGTACATACAGGTCCCACTTCTCCCTGACATCGAAATGAAATTCATTTACAAGCAGCCGCTAGCATAGATACAAGTCAACCCTTGCATAGTTTGGAGGAGGCTGGGATAATCTTCACCGAAAACCATTATAGTATTGCTCATGGGTTTTTCAAGACACGATAATCTCATGGGTTGATATAGATATATACCTGCTGTCCAGACACTTAGTACTCCATGGCCGGGGTTCCCTGCTCACACTGTACTTTCCCGAAGCATGCCGAGTAGCCCTATCTTGAGTATCCATGAAACATCAATCGCAATCTGATGGTCTTTGCGAATTACAAGACCGAGATATTTATGTTCGCATGATCGCGTGACCACTTGGCCATGGCACTTTTTGCAGGTGGAGGTCTTTTATAAGGTCTACATTTAAGTATATATTTTATACGACTATAGGCCCTACCACATGGCCGCAGCCGACTCAAAGCGTTGGACAGTCAGTTAACTTCTTTATGTATACCGCCTCTAAGCTGGGTTAGTTATGATTGGATTTCAAGTGGCTTATTCCACGCTGGACTCTGAAGGTATCTCATAAGCCACTCATAGGTAGCCCACTACTCGAACATTAGCTGACGATTTGGCAATGTGTGGTAAAGACATTACCTGGGCGGCGTTTACGATGAAGGCTCTAAGACTGCATACTCCTATGCCCCGATAGAAAGCCTTGAGGCCTTCCGTCCGATACATATCCTTAGCCAGGTCGAATGTACCCAGGGTATGTTTGTGGGTCTGTGCCTGCAATAATGGACGTGCTTCAGCATGAGCTGCAATCGTATTCGCCTGCAGTCGAGTTTTGATAACGTCGAGTGGAAATACAGAAGCCCATGTAACGATTCCAGCAATGCCGCCGCATAAAAACACCTTCAATGCAGCGCTCCTTGGATCTTCATCGTGCGAGGACATTAATCTCTTGCAATACTCGTAGGACCAGAAGCTGTCGTAAAAGTAAACGATTGCCCTGCAGGAAGAAGACGTAGGAAGAACATACTAGAATCCATAGCCTATAGAGTCCCTAGCACAAGTTACTCCACCAGCAAAATATAAGCCTCTCCAGCCGCGATTCCGGACGATATCGTTTGCGACTGTCCAGGATGAGACTCCTGGACGAGCGTCAAGCTGTGCTCGGCATTTGATGAACTCTGTTGGCGAGGAGACAGTCCAGCTGGCAATCCCGCCAAGTGCCCCAGCAAGCCATAGCTTATAGAGAGCACAATTTTGTGGATCCGTAGGGTCAATGACGGATTTATCCAAGAGCATTAATGCCCGGTTATAGGACACGAAGAGTAGAGCATTGAGAGCTCCATATCCGAGAATAGGGGCCGCAGCACCTGGTATAGGGTCAATTATTATGTACATTACTTGCAGTTACACAGAGCTCAGCATACCTCGCACAAGGGTACTTGTGCTTTCAAAGTGACTCAATTGCCGAGGTGACACAGGGCCATTTGTAGAGCTGCTTGCTTGCAATCGGACCTTGATGAGATCAAGAGGATTCCCAATAATTATACCAATGGCGCCGCTAATATAGCCGGCCCAGAAGTCCGCAGACATTGCGCTGATACTCAACCTACCGGTGTTGTCCAGTTCCGAGGTTCTTTGAAGCCAATAGTAAGGTGGGAGAGCTGTTGCATTATTTGCGGGGCATACGCTTATCATAGGTACGGTATCAGCACGTGACCACGCGATTATTTGGCGTTTGGGACGGCGGCGTAGGCTCAGGCAAAACGCGTGCATCGCTGAGAGGCAAAACCACGATCAAACATCGGGACTGCGCAAGGTCAGATTTACAGGGCTGCGAACCCCATAAATGTAAGTATATGGCCTAATAAATCTGCTGAGAAGTCAAGGTCTAATAGAGGAAGGTATCGCCCGCGACCATCCAACGAAGGAGGCGTTGTTACGCCTGTAGCATCGCGCGTCAGCGGTTCTTCCAACTCCATCGACCGCCTCTCGAAGCCGTTCAAATGTCCCGGATCAGCCACACCAACGAGAGCCTCAGATAAACCAGCAAGGAAACGGAGGAAGGTGAATTATGCAGGGGCAGATGGAAATGTCGACGACAATAGCGTGAAGCCGTACACCAACGAGGAACGCCTGGCACTCGCCACTCGAGATGTAAACAGATTTCCGGTTTTCAAAGCTAAGGACAAGGACTTGACGTTCAAACAAAGATTCAAGGTGCCCTTGATGAACAAGTCCAGTGGCTCATACGATAGCTCGCGGCCAGCTCCAACCCTGGGCATGAGGCAGGGCGCCACATTCGTGGTGAAGCCTTTGCATGACCCAAGCGGAGAGTTTGCGATTGTTCTTTATGATCCAACCGTCGACGATATTGATGAAGCAACCCCCAAGGAACAGGATAAAGATGGCGAGGATAAGGACCAGAAGCTGGATGAGCCTCTCGTACATAAAAGCTTGGCGGACATTCTTGGGCTGAAGAAGAAGGTGGAAGAGCGCCCCAAAGTTCCAGTGGTAATCGACCCCAGGTTAGCCAAGATTTTGCGTCCGCATCAAGTGGAAGGAGTCAAGGTAAGCTTCTGCAAGAATTACAGTGCAGCGGGCGTTCCAGCTAACAGACCTAGTTCCTCTACCGTTGCACTACTGGAATGATTGATAAAAACGCCAACGGCTGCATTATGGCAGACGGGATGGGACTAGGCAAGACAGTAAGTTCACAGCTGTCCAATCAATTCATGAGGCTTACGGTGGTAGCTCCAATGCATTTCTTTGATGTGGACACTTCTGAAGCAATCTCCCGAGGCTGGAAAGACGACCATCCAGAAATGCATCATTGCGTGTCCCTCCAGTTTGGTTGGGAATTGGGCCAATGAGCTCGGTAAGTCACTATTTGACACTTAGCAGACAGTCACTGACTGAAGTAGGAAAGTGGCTTGGGAAGGACACTATCACTCCATTTGCCGTGGATGGAAAAGCTTCCAAGACGGAGCTCACCAGCCAATTGAAACAATGGGCAATATCTTCGGGCCGCTCTATCGTCAGACCAGTACTCATTGTTTCCTATGAAACACTGCGGCTGTATGTCGATACATTGAAAGATAGCCCCATTGGCCTGCTGCTTTGCGACGAAGGCCATCGGTTGAAGAATAAAGAGAGCTTGACTTGGACAGCCCTCAACAGCCTCAACGTGCAAAGGCGAGTAATTTTGTCCGGAACGCCCATTCAGAACGACCTATCGGAATATTTCGCACTCCTTAATTTCGCCAACCCAGACCTACTTGGATCACAAAACGAGTTCCGAAAGAGATTTGAAATACCCATCCTCAGAGGGAGAGATGCAGCAGGCACGGAAGAAGACAGAAAGAAAGGCGATGAACGTCTAGCCGAGCTTTCTGGCATCGTTAACAAGTACATTATTCGGAGGACAAACGATATATTGTCCAAGTACTTGCCCGTCAAGTATGAGCATGTTGTGTTCTGCAACCTCTCACAATTTCAACTTGACCTGTACAAACATTTCATTGATAGTCCAGAGATCAAAAGCCTTCTCAGGGGCAAAGGCAGTCAGCCTCTGAAAGCAATCGGGCTTTTGAAGAAACTTTGCAACCATCCTGATCTGCTGAATCTCTCCATTGATCTCCCTGGATGCGAGCACGCATTTCCTGATGATTATGTCGCCGTGGAAGCAAGGGGTCGGGACAGAGATGTCAGGCCATGGTATTCAGGGAAGATGATGGTCCTTGATCGAATGCTGGCACGAATACGTCAGGACACAAATGATAAGATCGTCTTAATCAGCAACTACACACAAACGCTCGATGTCTTTGAAAAGCTTTGCAGGTCAAGAGCTTACGGTTGTCTCAGACTGGACGGAAAGATGAACGTGAAGAAACGGCAGAAGCTGGTTGACAAGTTCAATGACCCCGACGGTGAAGAGTTTGTTTTTCTGCTCAGCAGCAAAGCCGGTGGTTGTGGTCTGAACCTGATCGGTGCAAACAGGCTCGTGCTGTTCGATCCCGACTGGAACCCAGCAGCCGATCAACAGGCATTGGCGCGAGTTTGGCGTGATGGCCAAAAGAAAGACTGTTTTGTCTATCGCTTCATCGCAACTGGATCAATAGAAGAGAAGATTTTTCAACGCCAGTCTCATAAACAGTCGCTTTCCTCCTGCGTGGTGGACTCCGCTGAGGACGTTGAGCGACATTTCTCCTTGGACTCGCTCCGTGAACTGTTCCAGTTCAAGCCAGAAACGACGAGTGATACACATGACACCTTCAAGTGCAAAAGATGCAGGCCCGATGGCACACAGTATATCAAGGCCCCAGCTATGCTCTATGGTGACACCAGTTCTTGGAACCATTTTGTGAACACCGGCGATAAGGGGCCGCTCAACCAAATCCAAGACCTTTTGATTCGACAAGAGACTCAGGAGCGAGACGTCTCCGCCGTTTTTCAATATATCAGCCATTGAATAAAGCGATTAGGGCCCTTGTCCCATTTTATTGGAGTTATTAGTGCGGCATTGATTATTGGACGAAGCCCAGGCTAGACACCTTGGGATGATTTCACGACATACTTGATTAGCGGGATATTGGAATATGTAGCTATTGAAGTCTTGATAATAGTAAATACACATGCTTTTACGGGGATATACAGTCTGAGCGCAACTGTCTGTGCTCTGCCCGGAGCCACGTGCGGAGACCGAGAATGGTCGAGCGACTCGAGCCGCCCTACGTCACTCCACTTCTAGCTCTCTGCCAACGCATCTTCACCGTTCCCTCCCCACATGGCTTTCTGACAACGCCAGCTCGTCTATCTCTTTGTTTGTTGTTCCACTACTTTTCTTGCGCTAAATTACTTACTAGAGCTCAAGACGCCTCTCAGCCTCTCAGCTCGACGCTCAGACTCCGGGGGCTACCATCATGAGGATAGTCGCCTAGAGCCTCGAATTATCCCAGCCCATGTTTGCCTGAGCGATGGATCACTCAATCCAGCGCTTGCTGAATGATAAACTCTACGACCGGAGGAAGCAAGGGGCTTTAGAGTACGCCTATCCGATCACGCTGCAGCATTTGCAATTATCGCAAACTTGTTTGGTTTTCAGACTGCTGACCCCTCTTGGAACAAACAGGCTCGAGAAAGTCGTACGGGATTCCGCGTTCAGAGGAGACCATGAAGTTATCCAAAGAATCGTCGACCAGCTATGCCATGATTACGCCTATGCGGTACATCAGCCTCATGCGAGGAACGGGGGGTTGATCGGTTTAGCGGCGGCGTCTATAGCTTTGGGATCAGTGAGTTCACTGGACAACCTGGGATTATATCGTGACGCTGAAACGAGAAACTTAGGAGGGAGTTGCTCCGTATCTGAAAGAAATCGTTCCGCCGGTACTTGCGTGCTTTTCGGATCAAGATGCGAGGGTCAGATACTACGCTTGCGAGAGCATGTACAACATTGCCAAGGTCGCGAAAGGGGAAATATTGTTGTTTTTCAACGAGATATTCGATGCGCTAAGCAAGGTATATTTTCCCTGCATCGAGATTCTAAGCCAAGCCTAACATAGGCAAAGCTAGCTTCAGATTCCGAATTATCCGTGAAGAACGGAGCAGAACTGCTCGATCGACTCGTGAAAGATATCGTTTCCGAATCCGCAGCCCACCATGTTTCCGTCCTTCAACTTTCTGAGAAGCAGTCTACCGATCCTGAAGACCTAGGAGACGATCTCCCGACGGCGTTCTCGCTTCCGAAGTTCATACCGTTGCTGAAAGAACGAATACATGTTCTCAGTGCATTCACCCGGACGTTTCTGGTGTCATGGCTGACTCTGCTCGATACGATCCCCGACTTGGAGCTCGTTTCGTATCTGCCAGAGTTCCTGGCGGGGTTGATCAAATTTCTGGGCGATTCAAACCGAGATGTTAACGTCGCTACCCAGGGCCTGCTAGACAGGTTTCTGGCGGAAATAAAACGGATCGCTCGTCTCAAGAAGGGATTGGCCGAAAGTCGCAAAGGACAAGGAAGTGACAACAGACGGTCGATGACAAGCAACAACTCGAGCCTAGCCACGGATCCAACCATCGCGATTGACGCTGAAAGTAACGATAATGCGATCGAGGACTCTGAGGCTGATTTCGCCGTGGAAGAAGAAGAAGGACTAAATAGCGATGGTGATTGGATCCCGGGTCAAGATGTCCAGATCGACCATCCAAAGATCCTAGATATTCTTGTGGGATTCGTGAACACTTCCTTTGGTAACTACGCTTTCATAATTGTTAAATAATCGCCGCCTGCTGACGCTAAGCACAGACGAGGAGATGCAATTGACTGCGTTGCGCTGGATAGATAGCTTTTTCGAAATAAGTCCCGAGGATATTCTCCCCTTTGTTCCACGCTTGCTGGATCAAGTTCTTCCAGCATTGTCAAGCACCTCACCAGCTGTGAAGGAGACCGCGGGCCGTGTCAATGCGTCACTCCTGGAGTACATCTTCAGTCTGACCCTATCCGAAGATACCCCGGACGACTCGCGACAAACCTCAACCTCCAAGCTACCTTCCACAATTACAAAGGAGCTTGCTGAAAGAAGGTCTTCCACGCCGACTAGTAAAGCCGATGTTTCGGGTAGCGACTCCAAAAAAGCATCCCCTCGAAATAGCGTCATGTCAGCTGTCCCCTCACCACCACCAGAGCTCGATTATGGCGCGGCCGTCACTTCCCTCACTCTGCAGTTCCTAAGCGAATATGAGACCACCAGAATAGCCGCCCTTTCTTGGCTCATTATGCTGCATCGCAAGGCCCCAAAGAAGGTCGCCGCGTTCAATGACGGGATATTCCCTGCGCTTCTCAAGACGTTATCTGATACGTCAGAGACAGTTGTTACGAAAGACCTACAGCTTTTGTCACAAATATCAAGGAATAGCGAGGACAGCTATTTCAAATTATTCATGGTCAATCTACTTCAGCTATTTTCTACCGATAGAAATCTGCTTGAGGTTCGGGGAAACCTCATTATCCGCCAACTATGTTTGAATCTGAGTCCGGAACGTATATATCGGACTCTTGCCGACTGTCTCGAAAAGGAAGATGTAAGCCCCATGCTTCTCATATGGCTTTGCCATTGCTAATACCGCTATTGTAGGACATCGAGTTTGCTAGTATTATGGTGCAGAACCTAAACAATAATTTGATTACCGCGCCGGAGCTGTCTGAATTGAGGAAAAGACTACGAAACCTGGACTCCAGAGTAATAGGCCCCAATGTAGCCGCCTTAAAACAGGCACTGACTAATTGATAGGACGGCCAAACGTTCTTCGTGGCTCTTTTCAGGTCATGGTGTCACAATGCAGTCTCGACCTTTTCCTTATGTTTGCTTGCGCAGGCTTATGAGCAGGCTTATAACCTCCTCCAAGTATTGTGAGTAATTTCGAGGCTATTCGGAGCGTCATAAACTCTAATCTCTCACAGTGCGGAGCTTGAGATGACGGTCAATATGTTGATCCAAATTGACAAGCTCGTCCAGCTCCTAGAGTCTCCAGTTTTCACCTGTATGTCTTGGATCATCTGATCTGATAACAAGCCCTAACTCCATGCTAGATCTTCGCCTTCAACTCCTCGAACCAGAAAGATACCCATATCTCTACAAATGCCTCTATGGCGTCCTCATGCTCCTCCCCCAGAGCTCGGCTTTCGCAGCACTCAAAAATCGCCTCAACAGCGTTAGCAACATCGGTTTACTTCACACGGGCCCTCGTCTGTACGTTAGCGCATCTATTTCTTCCCTAAAACCAAGCATCTTGACGTTAACCCCAACAGAACCTCAATGGCATCCACCTCAACCTCTGGAACATCATCAACCTACGACCGCACCAGCAGCCGCCTTAAGCAGCGCGACGAAAACTCCATCCGCTGGGTCGACCTCCTCGACAAATTCAAGTCGGTGCAGGAAAGGACCCGCTCCTCGCAGCGCTCCCAGCGCCCCTTCGACGCCAACGACGGGAACGCACACCAAACTACAGCCCTCTCCGCCGCGATCTCCAACGTAGACCAAATCCGCAGGGATAAAACCCTCCCCGATACTCCACGCTCCGCGCTCGGCGGTGTAGGGGGCCGCGCTTCGCCGGCTGACGGCGGTAGTGCGGGCAGTGCCGCCGGTGGTGGTGCCGGGAAAGGAGGGATCCTGGGCCCGCAGAGGCAGAAATCGGGTTTGCCGAATTTGGGACGCTTGAGGATTGGTGGGGGGAAGAGCAAGCGGTAATTATTAGCATAGCGTTAGGTTGAGTTGGTATGGCTGAGCCATATCCCACCAATGTAAAGAATGTCTTCTACTTTCGTTGGCGGCGGGCGGGAGGTATATGCTTGTATGTATATTCAGGAATTTCAGGTGCTGGATCATATCTGTAATGCTACATCGTCCATCACGAGAAACGCTCTATTCAATCAATCATAAATGTAGCCTCCTGGGCAAAAGGTAGCTTTCTACCTCAATCATAGCTTATCTCAAAGTTCAAAGCTAGACAAGAAAGTACAAAGCTCTGAGCTTCGATCCAAAAAGAAAAAAGAAGGTAGAAGACATCAAAGTGACCTCCGCGAGGAACATAACGTGGAGGATGCATCGTCAGAAACAAGAATAGTCGAAAGAACTCGAAATCGCATCACCGGTTGCGTGGGTCATTCGAGCCCCAGGAGGGCACTTTCCACGATCCATTTGAATGCTTCCCGACTGTTCCGGACGATGAATTCGAACTGTTCGAATACACGTATTCACCATCGACGTATTGAACCCCCGTAAATGTGGTCCGGTGCTTTCTCCGAGCATACCGCTGCTCTAACCTGTACAGCTCAAGCTCTGCGTTCATTGCCGATTAGCATTGCGCTGTGAAGGGTATTTTCGGTACCGCGGTCTTGAGAATAGAGACCCAAAAAATGGGTTCGGCGGCAGACTGGGAGACATACTGGCTTGTAGTTTCTCAATGAGGCCCATTGTGTGAGGTGTATACGTCTTTCCAATCTTTTTATAACGCCAACCTGGTTGGCTTTCCTAGAGGAATGTGGTAGTAGGGCCGCGAGGGAGTTCTGAGGTAAGACACATCAACAAATTAGCAGACGCGCTTTCAATCGTGATTCCGGAAGCTCCGCGATAACCCAAGAGGCAGCTCTTGGTATCAAAACAGCTGATTAGGGCAGTCGCATACCAAATTGCGGCGGCAGTGTATTTCCGGTAGCAGGTCGGGGTTCGATAAGTTGAAATGAAGCAGTAATGAGAGGTTCTGAATGTAAGCCAGTTAACAGGAGGAACGCCGAGTTTTGGGGGAAGCAGAGAAGCAGAGAGGGGAAGCGCAGCAGGGACAAGGAGCTAACGATTGTGGGACGGAATGCTCCAAACTCCAACCAACGAGACAAGGGACACTAACCGGTGCGACTAATCCTTGAAGAAAACGGTTGGAGTCCGAGGAGTGGCTGGATTCGATAGCGTGCCTGGAGCGTAGGAAAACGGCGCGTCCTAGCGTGGTGAGATTATGCGTTGCGAGTAATTGTGCGTGTGAGGAATCCAATGGCGACTATTTCCCTTGACAGCCACGCTGAACTATGACGAAAGCGGAAATGAAATGGAAGGGAATGACCGGAATAGTTGAAGGAGTGGAGGAATAGCTGAAAAAGAATGGTGAGCGGGAAAAGAGCGATGAATTGTAAAAAGCAGTCAGAAGTGAGCGAGCGATAACACTGGGAAAGGGAGCTGTCAGTGTCAGTTGGAACTTGGACCTTGGGACTCGGACGGAATGGATCGAGGCGAGATTCGAGAAGAGGAGCAGAAGCTGTGGGGCCACAACGTGGGATTGGAAGGAGCGCTAGGCCGCTTCCCGTCTAGCCAGGGGGCCGTTCTCGCGCGATATTGGAAATGTTGGAGTTAGATTGCGGTCGTGCAGTCGCACCATGTCCGTGACTGCGTGGTTCCCTGGCCCATGCAGCGCCTCTAATATAACGTCTAATCACGCTATCTATTCCATCCATCCTGTAACCAGTACATTTCTCTACTTCTTCGGTGCCATGTCTTTGTCCTCTCCTGCCGTCTCTCCCTCGAGCTCGGCGTTGCGTTCGTATTCTGGATCTTGTGCCAGTGACATTTCCTGGGCTGCAGCAAGCACGTTAGCTTCCGTTCTGGGCCTCAGGAACTAGCTTCCGACGGGTTCTTACCATTCCAGAGCTCGGCGTAGATGCCATCCAAATCCAGAAGTTCGCGGTGTGACCCTAGCTCCGCTACTTGTCCTTCCTTCAGCACCAAAATCTGGTCGCAATCATATATCGTCCGCAAGCGATGCGCCACAAAGACGCTGGTCCGTCGTTTCTCCTTCAAAATGCTGTTGATGTTTTGCAACAAAGCTTGCTCTGTGTAAGTGTCGAGGGCAGACGTCTATGAAAGCATGAGTTAGCGTCGATTATTTTAGGGTTGCTGGGGGGACGGCGACTTACTGCTTCGTCAAAGAAGAGCAACTGTGGATCTTTCAGGAGCAATCGGGAAATAGCCAGTCGTTGCTTTTCTCCACCGGAGATCATCATTCCACGCTCGCCGACAGCGGTACGGTAGCCATCGGGAAGCCTCTCGACAAGCTCATGAATATGTGCTCGGCGCGCGGCTTTGCGCACCTCCTCATCGGATGCCTCCAGCCTTCCATAGCGAATGTTGTGTTCAATCGTGTCGTTGAATAATGGCGTATCCTGGGGAACGACGCCGATCGCTTTACGCAAGCTTTCTACAGTGACGTCCCGGATATCCTGACCGTCAACCAGGATCCGTCCCTCCTGCACGTCGTAATACCGGAAAAGGAGTCGCAGAATGGTGGACTTGCCGCAGCCGCTAGGGCCAACGATAGCGAATTTCTGTCCAGCAGGAATCGTAAAGCTAGCGTTCTTCAAAATTGGACGCTCAGGATGATACCCAAAGGTCACGTTCTCGAATCGGATCTGCCCGCCATTCCTAAGCTCCAGAGGTTTGGCATCGGGTCGCTCTATGATGTTGACGTTGACCTTTTGCAAGTTGAACAATGTTTCCATGTCAAGCAGCGACTGGCGCAGCTCGCGGTATACAGATCCCAGGAAGTTCAGCGGCACGGAGAGTTGAAAGACAAGTTGGTTTACCATAACCAGATCACCAACAGTGAGAGTTCCGGCGGCAACCCCATCAGCGGCGAGGTACATCATAGCGGCAAGCGCACTTGAGAAGATCATGTTCTGACCGGAGTTGAGAAGAGCCAAGGAAGTGGTGACCTTAATAGAGGCATCTTCATATGCCTTGAGTGCTTTGTCATAACGCGCAACTTCAAACTTCTCGTTGTTGAAGTATTTCACAGCCTCATAGTTGATTAAAGAGTCTACAGCAACCGTAGCCCCCCGGTTATCCGCTGCATTGGCCTGCTTTCGGAATTTTGTCCTCCAAGCGGTTGTCAGTATTGTGAAAGCTGAATAGGCCAGCATGGTTGTGGCAGTGATTGCAGCGAATTTGAGACCATATTGATGCGTCTGTTGCGTGTGTCAGAATGCTAGTCATATACTTATGACTAAGGGCCAACAAACCAGGATGCCGCACACAAGCGTGATCTCCAGAGCGGTAGGTACGACGTGAAATACCATTGACGTCAGGAGAAAGCTGATGCCTTTCGTTCCGCGGTCAATAGCTCTTGTCAAACCTCCCGTCTGTCGTGAGAGATGAAAGTTGAGATCTAACCGCAACAGGTGCTCGAAAACGTTTCGCGCAACCTTGCGAATTGCCTTCTGAGCGACGCTTGCAAACACGGCGTTCCGAAGCTCTTGGAAAAGAGTAGCTCCAATTCTCGTCGCCCCATCTGCAAGGTAAGGTAAGTTACTCGTAGTTTTGAGAATGTCAATTACTCCGACTTACAGGCGATGATCATGGACCCCGCCACTGTATAAGCAGTTCCGCCAACGGACGCAAAATCCACGTTCATCGAGTCAACGATGCTTTTGAAGTAAAAGGGTATTTCGACATTCAGAACCTAAATAGAATAAGGTGAGTATAGACGGATCAGGAAAGGTCTCGGTATAGTTCTCACCTTTGCGCCAACTAGCAACGACAGGGCGGTTCCTACACGAAGCTTGGTTCCCCAATCACCCTGTATACTGCCGATTAGCGAAGCGCGTGGACAACGCCCGAGGTTCTTGAAGCTTCACCTTCGGCCAAAGGTATTTTGCCATTTCCCTCATTATAGCCCAATCCGCCTTCCTCTGTTCCTTGTTCGCAACCGTGCTTTCACTAAGCAGGTCCTTTCTTGCAGTCGCCGCATTTTGTGTCTTCTGTGGGCTTGGTGCAGCGGGTTTGGCCGATGTTGGGGACGAGGTTGGCTCGGGTGTGGGCGTCTTTTTATCGGAAGGCGTAGTTTCGTCCGTCTGTTTCTTGTACGAGAACGGTCTAAGCTGAGAAACTCCCAGGGCAGCTGAGACTGGATTCGATCGCGGAAAGGCGGGACGGTGGGAGACGAACCGCGCCGGAGTGCGCCAGCAAGGCGATCGAGCTGCTTGACGCAGCATTGCGCCGTTGACCACCTATGCGGATAATTCAGATAATAGCACTTGCTAACCCGTATTCCCCTTCACTCAAAGTAGCATTGTTGTAGGTGATTGTGGTGTTTGCTAGGTTCGAGTCTCACTTCGTGTTGCGGGCGCCGGGTTCGGAGGGGAAAAGAGGAGCGGAGATGATGCGGCGGTTTTGAGGACCTCCGGATTAGGCCACCACAAGCCACGAAACTCGGAGAACCTTGGAAGCAATTGATTTGGGTTGAATTCGTGCGTGGGGGTTGTCTGAAGAAAAGAAGAGGAGCACCGGTGAGAAGCTGAGGATAAAATGTCGCTATGGTCTGTTGCAATTGTTTCGGAGATGATGCAATTCAGGGATCCCAGCGCTCCACGACAGGCTTTCCGAGCTACAACGGCAAAGCCACGACAAAGCTTCCACTCAACTCTATGAGTTAGTTACTCTAGTTGTTTGACTCCTCATCCGCTGGGAAGTCTGGGACGATGAAGGGTTTCGCTTACTTGCGTTTGCTCATTGGGGACGCGGCTGAAGTCAAGACTAAACACATTCGCAGATTGACTGATCTCTGGTACATTATTAACATACACAGTATGGCCAATTCCCTTTACTCATACTGCATGGGAGAGCCCAAGTCATTCAAACTATGCCAGCGCTATCCAAAGTGAATCCAAAATGATAGTACTAAACAATCATGTAGCCCACAGGGAAAGAGCGTGACTTGCCCGCATTCACTCACTCCTTCCTGGGAAGAAAGTTGATTGTCCAGTCTAGATATTAATGATGAAACTAGGCTCTTTCTCGACCCTCCCGCAGGCATCACTTTCGGCCATCCAAGTTGCGCAATGGAGCCAACAGTCAGGGTTCGATGCATAGTGTGCGGTGCCGACATAGAACGTGAAGGCCGATCGGAGGATACCTGGCTGCAATCATACAGTATGGGTGAGTGAGATGTATACTCAAGTCCAGTATTGCTGCAGAGTATGGAGTCTTTTGCTTACATCTTAAAGTATATCGTACCGAGCAGGTAGTGCATGTATCGGCCATAGGAGTACGAAGGCGACAGAACGACGAAGCAAGCTTCAAGGTCCCGGTACAGAAGTTTACGAGCAACAATGAAGCCTGGATCCAGGTTCCTATTCTGCAGGAGGCTGACAGCTGCTTTGGGTTCCTCCTTCACAATGCATGCTGGTGCCTCCTCGAACGCAGAGCTTGGCCATTGGCGATATCATTGCCCAGGCTGTATGAGGTATTCGACTCCGCCCCCAGAGACTGGACCGATATGCAGTCATGCTGCTACACTTGGGATCACATGTACGAAGGAACGACTGGCTTCGTTCCCCTGCATTGGAGGGGGGAGGGCATGCGTTGGCCGTGGGAAGAAAGGCGTTGGCGCGAAACATGGCGATCGGTAACGGTCAAGAAAGCATTTCTTCGAAGCCCTTTTGCGTGTACAGTTTATGATCTGATAAGGATTGCTCCGACGCAGTCCATGCCGTTCGACTTCTCAGCTCTGACTGAATCATCAGTTGTCAGTGACGGTTTCACCCGTCTGCCGTTCGAAATTGTGGAGGAAATAGCATCGTATTTGCCAACAGCCACGGTCCTTCAACTTCGATCCGTGTCCAGGGCTTTTACTCGGTTGTTCTATAGCCAAATGTTTTGGGCTTCCCGGTTCAAAGGTGATTTCGAGCGTAGCTTCTTATTCGAAGCTCACGAAACGCGTTCGCATCGTGATTGGCGCTGGCTGTATCAGCGAACGAGGAATGTCCATCTAGCTTATCCTGGTTTGGAGAACAGACTGCGGATCTGGCGCTTGACCGAGTTGCTCCTGAAAAAGCTTAACCTGTCGCTTGCGGACTCATCCACTCACTTGGCGATCAAGCGGCGATTATCAAACTGGGAAAGGGCTGAGGTTCATGGGGACATTCTTGTTGGAAACGAACTGAGAAGGAAAGGATCAGGCTTGCGGATTCTTACACACGAGACACAGGTACCACCCGATGTCCAGAAAATTGGGGTTTCCGTTCTCGAGGATGGAGAAACAACTTATGTTGCCGGAATACAGCTTGTTCATGGCTCAGACCAGCAAATTATTCAGCTTGGTTACGTTACTACTTCTGCAAGCACGACCTACACTGAGGTGGGCTCTTTGGACGGGCTTATAGTGTCTGTCGGATCAAGAGGGATCCACGCACTCCAGATTGTTCATAGCAAGAATGGAAGTCTGTCTCCGTGGCTTGGATGCCCCCATAGTGGCGCAAAGACGAGGCGTCTTGCTTTCCCTGAACGAGTCGTTGCCTTGTCCGTGGGACTGGATGTGAGACCGCCATGATCCGGTAGTTTAGGGTGCTAACTGTGGCTTAGGGTTATAAAATGGTCTATATCTCGATTTGGGGCAGAAGAATGGGCGGGCTCAAGAAGCAGGAGCAACATGAGCCCATAATGGATAACCTCCTGTGGTTCCCGGAACTTCCTGACTCCACCGCACATCTTAATGTATCGTCTACCTTTGGCAGTATGGACTCTAGCACCAAAGGGTTCCGGCCTGTGATATGCACCTCATTTGGCGGCCCTGGAGGAGCCGACCTTCAGTCTCTAATACGAGTGTTTGCAACCATGAATCACAGCTGCCTGGTGAATATCGGCTTCGGTTACAAGTCTGAAGTTACATGCTGTCCGCAGCGAATGCTTTCGCCAAACCAGTCAAACGTTGGAATCCAGTCCATGGAGATTAACGGGCCAGAAGGAGAGTTCATCGAGAAGATTGAAGTTGGAACTCGCCAATGCGAACCTGATATCATAAGTGGACTCAGGGTGCGTTTTCTCCAGCATCATCTTTCTACTTTGCTCACATACCTAGTTGACAACAAATCGGGGAAGAAGCTGTACATTCACGGGCAGCTTCTGCGGGTGCGAACAGTACACGCTTCTCAGAACGGCAGCCGGGACGATTCCCACGGGGCTCTATGCGACACAGGTAAGGAATGCAATAATCTATGCTTATATGCGACGAGTAGCTGAACACGTTTTAGGAAAGCGAGGGCTTCGAGAACATGGGAATCATTTCTCACAAGGTGGAGCCTTGGTAGCACAGGCATTGAAGTCTTAAATGACCCTCAAAGGGTTGAGCATAGTTAGCGACAATCTGTCCCTGATTCTAAAGGATTCGTTTATACCTCCGTCCAACTGAGGTGTCTTATGCACATTATATGACTTGCAAAGGAAAATATACCAAAATATGCATTTCTCCAAGCCAGTGTGTGTATAGAGACAGCGAAGGTGGCCCCCGCGGTCTCCCGTAGCCCAACTCCAAAACAACCCAAGTACCTGGACACTACCGCACTACCATCGGGCTACTCGACTAGCCTCCAGTCTGGGCTCTGGATAATTCGCTGCGGCTTTGCTTTTGCTCGCTTCTTATCCTTCCAGTTGGGTTTGTGACAACAGGCTCGTTCTTGGTGCTCGATCGCCTCCTGATTGATGGGAGAGCTTGTCCAGTCGGAAGCCCTCCAACACTCCACTATAGGAACACTGTCCCCTTCCCCTCAAACCGCCCTCGCTCCCTCAACTCCCCTAGTCTCCTGAAGCCACCGCTTCTTCCCACCAAACCTTCCCCTCCCCCCTTACAGCCCCCTTATATACATCACTTTCCTCCATCCCTCGTCTTGCCGTTTGTCCAATTCTGGCAGTCTGGAGGGCGCTCTTTCAAGATGGACCCCAACAATAACCGCCCCCACCTGAACTTCGGCTACAACGAACGTGCCTTCAACCCAGCGGCCGCAAACAATCGCGCGTATCCTACCACGCCTTCCGCGTTCCCCCAGCCGATCTATCAGAGCCAAAGCCCCCAGGACTACATGGAGGCCCAGAATGGCGTTTATGGTCAGGGATACTTCATGCCAAACAACTACCCCCCGCAGGCCGCCTACGCTCAGCCTCATTACGGCCAACCGAACCTCCAGTCCCCTCAGCCGGCCTATCAGTCTCGAATGGGATACAATGTCAACCCCAACGATGGGACCAATGGCTTGATACAGCAGTTCTCCAACCAGGATCTCAACTCCAACCGGACCGGATTCTTCAATCGCTCCGCCTCGCCTGGTCAAAGACCCCGTACAGCTGGTAACAACGCCGCCGGTCAGCAGCAGCAACCCGGACACTTGGCCCCTCCCGTTCCTCGCAGCCCTCGACTACCTGCGGAGAACGAAGAGCTGCAACGCTACCCTGAGCGCTTCTCTGAAAACATTCATAAACGTGGAAAGGCCGCGAAGGAGTTGGTCAATGTGTTCTTCCATGAGAACATCGAGCGTGCGCGCGACCGCAACATGCGGTACGTCTCACTACGAAGGAGATTTTGCGGAAGGGCCTTGCTAATTGGTTTTGATAAATGAATAGTTCAGCGGAGCTCGATAAGATGATGCGTGACCCCAGTGTTTCACAGGATACGAAGGCGAAGGAGGCGGAAATGGTTGGAAAGAAAGAGTCTACATTCCTTCGATTCCTTCGGACGCCCGAGACTCCATCCAACTTCCAGACCATCAAGATTATCGGAAAGGGCGCCTTTGGTGAGGTTAAGCTCGTGCAACGGAAATCAGACCACAAGATCTATGCGCTAAAGTCGCTGATCAAATCAGAAATGTTCAAGAAGGATCAACTGGCCCACGTTCGTGCCGAGCGTGATATCCTGGCTGATTCCAAGGACAACCCCTGGCTCGTCAAGCTTCACGCTTCATTCCAGGACCCCGCATATCTATATCTTCTGATGGAGTTCTTACCTGGAGGTGATTTGATGACCATGTTGATCAAGTATGAGATCTTCTCTGAAGACATTACACGCTTCTACATGGCGGAAATTGTGATGGCGATCGAGGCGGTCCACAAGTTGGGCTTCCTTCACCGGTAAGAATGGACAAACTCGGGCTTTCTACTACACAACAGCCTACTAATATACGCACTCTACAGAGATATCAAACCCGACAACATCCTTTTGGATCGCGGTGGTCACGTCAAGCTGACTGATTTTGGTCTCTCTACCGGAGGCAAGAAAACTCACGACAACTCATACTATCAGAACCTTCTGAAGAACTCTACTTCCAAGGACAAGAACCGGAACTCTGGATATTTCAACGATGCCATCAACCTGACAGTATCAAACCGTGGACAAATCAACACATGGAGAAAGTCTCGCAGAGCCATGGCTTACTCAACTGTCGGAACACCTGACTACATTGCACCCGAAATATTCAATGGTCAAGGATACACCTATCTCTGCGATTGGTGGTCCGTCGGCGCTATCATGTTTGAATGTCTCGTGGGCTGGCCTCCATTCTGCGCCGAGGACACGACCGACACATACCGCAAGATTGTGAACTGGAGAGAGTGTCTGTACTTCCCCGAAGAGTTGACCTTGTCTCGTGAATCTGAGGGTTTGATTCGAAGGTATATCATATTAGCAACCCCCCTTGCAGCTGCGAGTCTAACCGCGTATTATTAGCTTCCTGTGTGACGCAGAGCACCGTATCGGTAACGAAGGTGGCCAGTACGGCGGCGCTACACAGATCAAGAACCACCCGTTCTTCCGCGGAGTAGTATGGGAACAGCTGCGCAGAATTCGGGCTCCGTTCGAACCGCGACTGAGCTCGAATATTGATGTGTCATACTTCCCCATTGACGAGATTCCCCAGGAGGACACCAGTGCTATCCACCGCGCTCAGGCCCGTGCTATGCCGGACGAGCAGAATGCCGAGATGAGCTTGCCTTTCATCGGATACACGTACAAAGCGTTCAACGCTTTCCAGGCTAGTTGAACACGGATTCGGATTGTGAAAATTTTTGAACGAGCCGATGATGGATGTCCTTGGAGAGTTTTGAAAGCGGGCGGGCTTGCGATGATAACTTTTCAATGGCTCATCCAGGTCCTTGCGACGGTCGGATAGACCTTGTTAATTGGTTTTTTATCAAGCATATAGCGCATACATCATGTTACTGGGCACATGAGCATTTCTACCATGTTTTTTTTTTCTATCTTGTTCTCCTCAGATGCTTGCATCAGGCCGTAAGTCACTTGTTGACGACGCTCGCCCCTTTGTCCCCGGACTGAAATATTCTTGCGGATGCTCTGATGAGCTTATCTTGTCTCATTACGAGGACGGTATGAACACTTAGAATATACGAATTTAACGTCTAATAGGCAAGGTGCTCCCATTCAAGCGCTAGTACAAGTAGAAGCTCTGAATTCTGACAGTTGAACAATTCGATAAAGTAACAGCCCTGGTTTTGTTCACAATAAGACCCAATTAACGCCCACCGAAGCCCCCAAAGCCAAGGTATGATTACAGAACACGCAACTCCCTGTCCATAGTAAGTACGAAGTAGGCAAGCTCAAGCAGCTCCCATAGGTGCCAACCCAGGCACACCACTAAACCGCTCTTCACGCTCAGTCTTGAACATAATCTGCACCCAAAACTCCTTACTATCCTCATCAAACCACGTCCAATACCTTCCCTCCCGCCGATCAATCTCCCTCGCCTGCAACTTAAACCCACAAGTCTGATACGGCTCCGCCGCAATAACCAGGTACTGAAAGTTCTTATCCGGCGGCTCCTCAACCTTCTGCTCGAACGCGCTCATAAACCGTACGCGCGGCTTAACCCCAGGCGTAATCTCCTGATACTGCAGCTGAAAGAGCAGCCCCAGCTGCCTCGTCAGCGGGTCCCGAATCTTCGTGATCTTGTATCCCGGCCGTCCAATCTTGATCGTCTGCTTGCGGACCTGCACGCCCATGGCACCGGGTATTGACGAAGGGTCGGCATTTTTGCCCTCGCGTTGTTCACGGGCGGCGCGGCGCGCGAGGTTCGTCTGGTGCTTGCGGCCTTGCGTGTGGGCGAGGTACGAGCCGTCGTTTTGGTGGACTGTTAGGCAGAGGCGGCACTCGAAGCTGCCGACGTGGTTCTTGAAGAAGTAGGGGTCTTTGTCCAGGTCGATGGTTTCGAGCGCGAGTTTGCGGAGCCGTTCGCGGCGGTCTGCGTTTGTTGCGGAGTGCGAGGCGACGCCGCCGCCGCCGAATTTGGAGCCTGCGCGGTTCTGTTATCTTGTTAATACGGTTCTCTTGAAGGTTTAGGTGCCGATCGTATGGGCAGCTGATAACGTACCTGATAATCCATTTTGGATGTATAGACACGGGTCTCCTGCTGCAAGGAGTGGAGTGAAGCTGGGGTGTTGGATAGGAAGCTTTGCGGAAATTCAAGTTGGAGATTACATAAGCAGCTAGACTGGGCTGATTGGAGGTTCTTGGTTCAAACAACAACTGGCAGGAGTGATATCTGGGTTGATCTTGAGATAATGGTTTAATCTCAGTCCAAAAATGACGAGTGGCCGAAATACAGCTGGTTCCCATCCCTGGGTGAATCAACGGCGATCGTACGATGGCAATCTATGCACCATCCGCTATGTGGGCAAGGTCGAGGGAACCTCTGGGGAATGGCTCGGGGTCGAATGGGACGATCCGTCGCGGGGAAAGCATTCAGGTCAGCATAATGGAGTGAATTACTTTACATGTACTGTGATCCCTAGTATAAGTGTTTTGTGACGGGAACTTAACTCCCCACAAAGTTTCATGTCGATGTTTGCTAATACTATACAGGCTCAAGAAACCACCCCACGGCAGGGTCATTCGTGCGGCCTTCGCGTCCAGCAGACAGCCCGCGCAGCTTCTTAGAAGCACTACGGGAGAAGTACGCATCTGACTATGAGCAGACTCGTGCGAGGCAAGCCCGTGCGGACGCGGAGCCCGAGAAGCCCATCAAATTCAACAGCAAAATTGCCGAGGAAGTCGGCTTTGACAAGATCCGGAAGCAGCTTGCGGAGCTTGAAGAGCTGAAGATCGTGCTTCTTGATGGACTGCGTGTTGCCGGTGTGCTTGCTCAGGAGGCTAGTCGTGAGCAGATCGAGGAAGCACGGCGCGAGATCGAGAGGACATGTCCTAAGATAGTGGAGCTTGACCTGAGCGTGAATATGTTGACGACTTGGAGGGATGTTGCTGATATATGTGAGCCGCTTAAGCGATTGAAGCTTTTGAGGTTGAGGTGAGTGCTTGTGTTCTTGATTTAGGAGATAGTTGGCGCTCTGACTGCGTTCTGGTAGTGGGAATCGGCTGGGGTCTGTTGAGGAGGGGTTGAGGTTTGATAGAGTTGAGGAGCTTCATCTGGATGATACTTTGCTTCCTTGGGAGCAGGTGAGCACGATTTTATTGGTTCGCCGTACTTGAGCTGACTCGTCTAGGTATCGATGGTGGCTGCTCAGTTTCCATCACTCACCTGGCTCTCAGCTTCAGGAAACCAGATCTCTGTGGCTCTCACGCCAGTATCCAATACGTTAACTACTTTGGTTCTCGAGAACAACGATATTGGTTCACTATCCTCGATTAGGGCACTATCATCTCTCCAGAACCTCAAGCATTTGTCACTGCGCGGGAACTTCATTGACGCCATATCAGCAGCTGACGCCGAGGGCAGTTCGTTTCAGTTCTCCAAAAGTCTTCGATCAGTGGATCTATCCCGAAATAAGATCAATTCGTGGTCGTTTATCAACAGGCTTCCCGAAGTCTTCCCAGGACTACAGAATCTCCGAGTGTCGGGGAACCCCCTTTACAACCAAGCCGTCGCACCGTCATCTATCACCGGCATCACCGAAAAGCCAATGACAGTAGACGAGGCGTACATGCTAACACTAGCTCGTGTCGCAACTCTGCAGGTACTCAACTACAGTACGATATCTGAAAAGGACCGCAGCAACGCCGAGCTCTATTACTTATCTCTAATTGGCAAGGAGCTGTCAGTATCTCCAGAGACGGCAGAACCAGATATACTCAAACCGCATCCTCGATATGGCGAACTATGCAAGATCTACGGCGAGCCGCTCATCCAACGAGTCTCGAAAGCAACCGGGTCAGACGCTGCAGTCAACCCGCGCTCTGTTGCGGCGCGATTAGTGCGGGTGCTATTTCGTCTGAACCAAGACAATGCTCAAACGGTCAAGGTCAAGGATATTCCTCGGTCGTATGACACGTACCAGGTCAAATCTATCGTCTCTCGACTATTCGGCATCACACCATTTGAGTTCCGCCTGATTTGGGAAACGGACGAACTAGACCCGGTCAGTAAGGAGAACATGGATATTGAAGATGAATGGGATAGTGAAGTCGAAGAAGAAGACGCCTCGGGCGAGCAGCTGAATTCTGGGGACGAAGCGAAGTTCGTCAAACGAGAAGTCGAGCTTGTTGATACGACCAAGGATATTGGTTTCTGGTTTCAGCCAGACCTTATAGAGGCTAGAGTTCGGATTGAGATTCAATCTCTTCCATCTGCATAGAGTATAACATAGCACATAAGTAATGATTTACGAGATGCGAGAGGCTTTTTCCCTGGACGGCAGTGATTTATATAAGCGCCACATCTTGTTCCCAATCACAGAAATCGGCATATGGGCAATCTAGGATGAGATGAGGAAATACCTTCTAGAGATAAGTTCTAGGACATACTTCGCTATTTTATGAATGAGAAACATATCTAGACGCACAGCAGTAGCCACGGAGGCTCTGCGACATCTCGTTTAAAGCGGCAAACATCTGGGTCCGGATTGGAATCTAACGCCGCGGGCGACACCAGAGCTTCTACAAACCAACTTGCACTCGACCACCCCTTCATATTCGCAGATCCCGGACAGAATATTCATATATCCTCATAGCAGCCATTAAAACACGAGAAGACTTATCGCCGATGGCAGAATACTGGAAATCAGCAGTAAGTGAAGCCGCGCCACCCTTTCATTCTACCATTTCAATTCAACATCTACAACTTCTAACTGAACTAGCCAAAATTCTGGTGCAAGCAATGCAAGATCTACATCCGTGACACAGCCTTCGAGAAGACGCAACACGAAGCGACAGCAAAACACCAAAGCAACCTGAAGCGCTTCCTACGAGAGATCCACCGCGACAACGAACGGTCACAACGCGACTCACAGCGCGCAAAGGATGAGGTCGAGCGATTAAGGCAGTCTGTTGCCGGTGGCGGTGGAAAAGCCGGGGATAATCAGTCATGGAAGAAATCGGCCTCTTCAACATCCGCACCCGCGTCGCAAAGGCCGGTCTCGGTGGAAGAGCGCAAGAAGCAGATGGCGCAGCTGGCGGAGATGGGAGTTGCTATTCCAGACGAGTACCGGCGTGATTTGGCGCTGGCGGGGGATTGGCAGACCGTCTCGGAGAAGGTAATACGACCGGCGGAAGAGGAGGACGGGGAAAAAGTGCCTACGTTGGGGGTTCGGAAGCGGAAACATGATCAGGATATAGATGAGGAGGAAGAGGAAGCGAAAAGGGAGGCTGAGCGGTTTGTTAGTAAGGGTTGGGGGTCGAGGACGAGGCGGTACCCTGGGGCGGAGGGTGAGGATGAGGATCTAGATGCGCTGTTGGCGTCTACGAAGGAGGTGAAGAAGCTCAAGGAGTCGGAAATCGAAGAGGATTCGGCTGAGAATACGACCGCGGAAGAAGAACCACAAAAGGAGGATAAACCGAGCGATGAAGTGCCGCCCAAGGAAGAGGAACCATCAGCTGCCGGCGGCGTGGTATTCAAGAAGCGCAAGCCGAAAGCAATGAGAAAATAGGGAATGAATAAGATTACATATTATGCGATAAAGCTCGACCGTAGAGGAGTATGAGATTGGAGTGATATGTGATTGAAAGCAAAAAGGAAATTCTGGTAGACGTTGCAGAGGGTATACTCAGTAGTATGTTGATGTTGCCACAGCAGGAATTTGGTGGTTGATCTCTTCATCGGCGGACCCGGACAAGCTCCAATCTTTTAATCTTCAGGCCCTCTCCTCTTTCCATCGCGCAACATCCTTCGTCGCAACACCCCCCGTCCTCTTGCCTCGCCAGTTGCGGAGCCTGTTTGGTGCCGAACACAGCGTTCTGGTGGAATATAGTTATTCGGCTCGCTTCTTTTCGCTTATCTGACCAGTACAAGGTGAGTAAAAGAGCCTCGAACGGCCTGTTTCCTTCCCCCCCCGACTCTTCCCCGACTTCGAGATCGAGAATCGAGATACGATTTTTCTCTCCACGCACCGGCTCATCAGCTTTTTGGATACACCAAAATGGCTGCAAATTTTTCGCTGTCTGGCTTTGTTACGCCGCAGACGGAGGGGGGCTTTCCTGCGCAAGGAAAATCTGGACCCCGGCATTGAAGAGGTTTCTTGCGGTCGCGTCCAAATTCATACAGACCGGTCAAAGGCCATGAATTGCTCAAGAGTCTCCGAACATCAAGAGTCTCGTAATTGACGGTCGGGCACGCTATGGTTGATGCGCCTATAATCGTTCTGGACTTGACCACGGTCTTCTCGATTTCTCGAACAATTCCCCGGCCAGGACCTACATGGACTTTCTACGACTTTTTCGCACGCCGACTGGCGATACAATGTCGAGATTCTCTTGATCTACACAAATTGTTACCAGACCATGCCACTAACTGCTTTGTTGACAGTGCAGGGACTGGACGGCATTGCCAATATTGCGTGAAGCCTCGTTGGACACGGATAGATCTCGAATACACTCGAAGAATTCTCGTTGAGTGGCTGGGGCGTTGAATTTTTGTCGAGTCGAGGGAACCGCTACTTGCGCTGGGATAGTTTAGAACGGCATTGGCAAGGCTGATGGCGGATACAACCCAGCAGGCTCAGCCTCCGGGCGAGCCGCAGCCAGCTGGTGAGCCGGCCGATATACCTCCCTCGGAACCTCCCAAGACGCATACGGATGAGCCATCAGCTGCGGATGCTGACCATTCGCTCCCCCCGATTGATAAAACCTTACCGACCGACGACACGGCTCTTCCAGCTATAGATATGTCGCTACCGCCAATAGACTCGACGATACCAGCACTACCACCGATCGATACATCCTTACCACCGCTGGACACAACGATGCCCGCGATGGACGACTTACATGACAATGAGCACTTCTCCTTTGATCGTTTCGACGAGGAGACGGCTGCCATCGGAATAAATGAAAATGGGACGACGGCACATGATCAGACCACAGAGCATCATGGGTCTTCGTCGACCCCTGTCCCTCAGAACCCCGCGCCCTCGAACGGTTTACATTCGGAGCCGCCAGCTCAGCAGCATCAACCATATGAGCAACAGCAACCGGCGCAGCACCATTATTCACCCCAGGAGAATGCACCGACGTCACAGCCGCAGGCCCAAATACCTCAACAGCACCAGCAATCGCATCAACAGTCGCAACAGCCCCCCGACATGTATAACAACCATCACAGTGCCTCGCCTTCTCATTCCAACCCTTCAATGCAGGGCCAACCCTCGCAGATCCCGCAAGCTCCCATTGGATCGCCTATGCCTCCGATGTCTTCGGTCAGTCAGTACATGGCGGGCTATCCATCGATGAACTCCGGCGGTCAGATGCATTATCAGCTGCAGGGCGATGCGAACAAGATGCTGTCCAGCAGGCACAAGAAAGAAGTCAAGCGGCGGACGAAAACCGGGTGTCTAACGTGTCGCAAGCGACGGATTAAGGTACGTAAACAATTTCTAAATGAAGCATTTTGCATAAGGGAGTTGCAAGACGCAAAAAGAAGAGCAATTGGCGTATGTGGAATGCGCGAGGGGGAGGTTGCGTTGTGCTGCTTCGCTTGCGTCGCCAAAATCTTCGGCTCGCGTCCAGCCCACCACCGGGAACCCCGCCATTTATTGTCGCTTGTTGACGCTCCCCGACCTCCCATACCCACTCTTCTCATATTTCCTTTTTTGTCGACGTGCTCATTCGGCTACTCTTTTATTACGCACTTTAATTATTACTTTGCTTTCAAGCTGCCGCTGACACCCCCCCACTAGTGTGACGAGGGACACCCCGTCTGCCGCAACTGCGTCAAGAGCAAGCGTGAATGTTTAGGCTACGACCCGGTCTTCAAGCAACCAACGCCCTCTGCGATACAGCCCGCTCCTAATCCCCAGCCGTCGCTGGTGGTCAACCCACAGGACCCTTCTCCTCAGCAGTCGTCGTACCCTGCTGCGCCTCCAGGCTACGTACCGGCCTCATCTCAACCCTTCGCTCCCTCGCAATCTCCGTCGACATCTACAGATCGCTACGAGTACAATTCCTCCATTGACCCGTCACTCAACCACGGCAACTCGTCCGAGATGGCAAGCGTCCAAAACATTACCGACGGCGGTCTGCAGCCGACTGTGAACCCCGCGACGACCACAACGGGCCATTCGGAGACGACAAGCTTTAGGTGTAAGTCTGGTCTTTTCGGGTTGCGGTTCTTAACTGACAATTTCTCCAGTGAAACAAGTCCAGATCAGCGATCTTCTTGCCCTACGGGGTATTCCGCCTCCACCCCCTCATCCTATTACCGCCCTTCCCCCAAACCGTCTCGAGGAGATACAAGCCGTGTTCCTTGCTACATATGCTCCCGCTATTGATCGGTTCTTTGAGACTCGATGGTTCTCAGAAAAGGCGCTGAACCATCTGCTAGCGAATGCCCAGTTAATGGCCGAATATTCCGCATTGATCGAGGCATTCAACGGGAATTTGAATGACCCCAATGTCCTTGCGCGGCTGGAGAGCTTCGAAGCATCGGTTGTCTGGAGTACAATGACATTATGTCGCCATGTGATGAACGTATCGAATGGAAGCCAGCCGGACTATGATCTCCTAGCCACCTCCAAGCGGTTGGACGTGATTGAAGCCATGATCACCGGCGACCACCTAGACTCGAACCCGCTCGCACAATTCCCGACTCGGCAACCGGCCGCCAACCCGCCTTCATTACCCGATCAGCTCATGCAGCGCCAGCTGGACTTCTGGAGTGCGATCGGCCACTTCCTTACGCTTCATGACAATGAAGCCAGCGCTGCGAAAGAAATCGATGATACACTGGGTCGTTGCCGCACGCTTCTGGATACGTACGAGAACCGAGACGTCACCTACTCGATTGCAATTGCGCGCCATCTTGGCCAACGATGGGCCGACTTTCCGCACAGCTTCCCTCAGCCAATCACCACAAATGAGAAAGACGCCGGTGCCAAGCTATATGTTGCGCAAAAGTTCCTTGAACAAGAAGCCGGCGGTAAGGGTACTACACAGGTGGTCAAGCGCTTGTGCGGCATGGTTGTCCGGTCCTGGTATGTTTCCCGGGAGTAAACGCGTGAGCCGTCTTTCTCCCCGTTGACGAATCTTCTTACCTGTAATATGAGAAAATTGGCGTGCTGGCAGGCTTCTGTGTTACGATCGTTTCTAGACCAAGTCTATTATGGTTTCTTTCATTTGGTGCGCTTTGCCGTGGAGTTCGCTCATATATCCCGTCTTGATATCACCACCCATTTATTTTGGTCTATTCACTAGGACTACGTCCTTTCCATGGTTTCGGAGTTTATATCCTCATTTATGCAGCTGGGACAAGGCAGCACGAAGGCGTTTGGCTGTGTTCTAGACGACTTTTCTATTTCATCTACATTTCTTCTGCTATGTCCAAAGTCATGGCCCGGGTTTGATCAGCCGATTCTATATATATCTAAACAACTTGATACATGTTATAGTCCTCTAGTAATCTCGTGATTCTCGCTCCGTCGTCTACAAATCAGCCTGCTCAGGAACAGGACTCTTCAACTTGCCCGTCTCCAGCGCCAACCGCACATTCTCAATCGCCCACTCCTCCATCGCAGTTTGCGTCTGCACACGTTAGTCACTGCCATACTCGCATGCAGATAGTGGTGTTTGATAGCGCCTTACCTCAACAGTCCAAGTCCCCATGTGCGGCACAAGCAAGACATTCGGGTTCTCTACAAGACCAGGATGAATCTTAGGCTCGTCCTCGAAGACGTCCAGACCAGCCGAGTAGACTTTCCCGCTGTCGAGGGCCTTGACGAGGGCATCTTCGTCCATAACAGCGCCGCGGGCCGTGTTGACAATCACGACGCCGTCCTTCATAGCCTCGAACTGCGGAGTACTGATGATGTGGCGGGTGTTTTTCTACACACTCAATGGTCATATTAGCGTGCACATCCACCCCTCAATCCATCCAACAGAGATCAAAAGACAGGGAAGGGAAAGACGCACATTCAACGGCAGATTCAAACTAATCACATCACTCGTGCTCAACAGCTCCTCAAAGGAGACATACTTCGCGCCGCCCGCGAGTTCCGGATCCAGCTGGCGCCGGTTATGGTAAATGACCTTCATCCCGAAGGCCTCGGCCTTGCGCTTCAGGTTGCGTCCGATGCCGCCCATGCCCAGGATCCCCAGGACCTTGTTCTCGGGGTCGTGGCCCAGGCGCGGGGGTGTGAGGCCGCGCCAGTGGCCTTGCCGGAGGGCGTGCATGCCAGCGTTGAAGTTGCGGAGGGCGCCGATTATCAGGAACATGTTTACGTCTGCGGTTGCGTCGTCGACGGCTGTGGGGACGTTGGAGACGCGCAATGGGGGAGTGCGCGCGCTGCATGCGTGTGTGTTGACTTGGTCGTAGCCGGCTCCTGGGGGTTGTTAGGATGGGGAACAGAAGGGGGATGAAGGGGATGAAGGGGATGACGTACCGCAGTGCGCGAGGTAGGTTAGTGAGGTGGGAAGAGCGTTGACGAGCTCCTCGTCGAAGATGCCGGTGATGGAGACGGAGTCGAAGGTGCGGTATGCGACGACGACGCCGTCCAGGGCGCCGGACTTACATTCTGCGATGAAGTCGGCGCGGTTTGTGGCCTTGGGGGAGACTAGGTCCGCCAGGGAGGAGAGGGAGTTCCAGGTGGAGTGCGCGCTGAGCTTGTTAGTCTGTAAACATCCACAATGCCGTTTGCTGAGGGCATACTGGACGATGCTGCCAAGGAGCAGGACCTTTGGCTTGGGGGACATCTTAAGGGTATTCGGTGTATCTTCTCAGCGCTGTTAGAAGATATGTAGTACAGTAGGGCTGAGTGAGTCAGGGATCTATATACGGAGTATGAGGGTACCTTGCAGAGATAAGCGAGGGGTAATGCGGGGTCAATTGCGGTGCTGCAGACGGACTAAGCGCCTGGATGGGTATATGAAGACAGAGAGGAGGCTCGACTGACCAAGAACCACAGGAGAAGACTGCCTAAAGAAGAAGAGGAAAGCGATGGAAACGAGAGGGAGAGAAGAGGGAGAAGAGTCGGAGTTGGAGAAGAGAGATTGGAAGAACTCCCCCACGTCCTGCCCCACCTTTTATCAACGCTCACGGGGAGTCTCGCGTTATCTTTTCCCGAGGACGAGTAGGGGAATTCAGAGTGTCAGGAGGAACGTCCGAGAGGCAGAGGACACGTTACTCGACATAGGCCGTGAGGTCCCTGACAAGGGAAGAGCTGAGCGTGCTTTTAGAATCTGGATGGCCGGACACCCCCAGCCTCGGTCTATCTCCGACCTGCCTTTCACAAAGTTTCAGAAGGATCTACAACTTTAACCGACGTTGAAATATTCGGGGAAGTCCCGTAAGGCGTTGTCGGGTACGAAGGTATTTACCAGATCACATAGCAGGGCTGAAGAGCTGTACCGAAGGAAACCTGCTAATAGCTCCCATCACGACAGGGCCGACAGATATCAAAGTAAGAGAGAGTTACACCAAACATGCTGAGAACTCTTGGGTATGATGAAATATCGCTGCATTCATCACCAAAATGTTATTGCAGCCTCAAATAATGTACAAAGCTCACCCCTCAACAAGCACCCTTGTCCAGTCAAACTTCCTCCACCGGCTCTGGAACCCGCCAACGCGCCGGTCTCCTCCTCTCGTCCAGCGTCCCTGTTTCTTAATGATCTCCGGGCCAACGTCCAGCATGCCTCCGATGACCTCCCGCGCAAAGAGATCACCCTTTGGCCACCGGTTGGCATCTTCAACAACATGGCCCAACCCGCCATCAAGCTGGAACCACACGTGGAAGTAGGGCATCTCTTTGGCGAGAGAGCGGCGGAAGGCATTCCGACCTAGACCCTGCTTGGACTTGGCCAGTGTATCGATGAGCTTGCGATGCTGCGTCCACTCTTCATCCGCGGAGAGGATGGCTTCCTTGAAGAAGGCCGGCGATGTCTCTCCAAGGCTGTAGGGAAGAGGCACGGCTTCCATGGAAGCGTGGCGCTTGCGGTGGGGCGCCGCGGCGTTTTCGTAGAAGATGACGTCGCGGCCTTGATCGTGGTACATGCGGGTGAGGCTCTTCATGAAGTTGCGGATCTCCTCCCATTCGTCGTCGTCGCATTCTAAAAGGTTGGTGCGGTGCTGGATGGGCACGATTGTGGCGCTGCCGGAGCTGAGTTCGGGCTCGGTTGGGAGTGTTAGGTAGACTCTTGTGGCTAGTGATACAACTGGGGCGACTGGAGGCGTATTGGTGTCTTCGTGGTGGCATAGCGGGCAGTTGTCTAGGATCTTGTTCATCTTGTGCAGCTCATTGATCGTGGTGTTCTTGAGGTCGATTTCGGATTTGTGGACGCGGCGGGCCAGTTTGGAGGCATTGTCGTCCATGTACTCGAGATCATTCTATGTACTGTCAGCATACCGAGCACTTCTAAAGGTAAGACGTCACTTACTTCGAACTTGCCGTCCTTTGCAATCCTCTCAGCGAGGCGCCGTCCTTCTCCGCCGAACTGGCCGCGACTCCGGCGCTCCTCCTGGACCATATCCGCGATTGTCATGTCCTCATTTTCTTCCACCTTGCCTCGTTCCAAACCGCGTTTGTTCTGTATAGCTTTCACTTCATTCCGCTTCCCAGCAAGCATCCTGTTCTCCATCACGCCGAGCACCATCACGTCCGGCTCTTTCCGATTAGCCATTGCGGCCGCGGCGGCATTGTATTGCTCCTCAAGCTCTGCGGCATCCGGTGCGCCTTTCAGCTTGGCTCGCATCATTTGCGCCTTGAGTTTGTTCAAGGCCGTGAGATCAAGATGCTGTGTGGTCCGAACAGGGGGCTCCGTCTCCATCGGCTGGCCCTGTCCACGAGCGCCGTACTCCTTTTCAGGGTCGCGAAGATGTTCATGCGGATCGTGATGTACATTTTCTTCCTGTTTTCGCTCCCGGAATAGTTCGCCCGTGGGCTTCTCCTTTCCGACATAGCCCTCGCCATACGTTTCACGGCGATCCAGTTCCGCTTCCTCTTCACGGGCATCGTCAAAAGAGCGCAGATCCCCAAAGCGCTCAATGGCAACCTCCTCCTCAGATCGACCGCTTTCCTTCGCCTCTCGATACACGCCTTTGAGCTTGGTCATTCTCCAGCCCGATCCCGCGTCGCCAAAGGTGTAGTCCACTTTATGTTCGGCCGGTTCCTGCTCAATCTCCTCTAGCACCTTCCCTTCTTTCAGATCGCGCAAGTGGGTATTCAGCTCCCTGTTGTGGATCTTAAGCTCAAAGTCTGCCTGCAACATGCGCGGTTTCGGCTCCTCCTCGAGACGAGTCTTTTCGCGCCGTTGGACATAGTCAATATCCAATGCGGACGGAGCTTCCATCCACGCATCTCTCTTTAGCTTCGTAGGCTCCTCTTGCGTAATCTCCGCAACAGGGGTTGGCTCGTCCTCCCGTTTTTCCTCGTCCCTGTGCCGACGTTTATGGTGGTCTCGATCGTCGCCATGATCAGAGGAATGGCGTGAGCGTTTATGGCGGTGGCCATCATCTCTGCGCGATTCGCTATTTCTGTCTGATTCCCTTTCGCGAGAGCGCGAACGGTGATGGTGAGAGCGATGTCGATGCCGATGCTCTCTGCTGCGGTCTCGATCTCGGCGGTGGTCTCGGTCTCGGTCGCGGTCGCGGTCGTGATGCCGGTGACGGTGCCTGTCTTTGTCGCTCCTCTCGCGCCGGCTTTCCCGTTCACGCTCCTCCGCAAGGGATTTCTCGAAATCCTCCAGCGTCATTTTGAATTGTTGTGATGGTTAAGAAGAAAGCTCGCAATGACGTCGGAATACAGTACGGTCGAGACCTTCTTTCACCGCCTTTGGCAATTTCCCCTCACTTTTTGTCGACATTTTATCGTCAAGCATACGGCACACGCCAGGAGCTATTTCACTCGAACTGTTCCTTTTTGCAGACCTGGTTACTCTTTTTCTACAATATAATAGAGAGCGTTGGGATATTTGGCTCACTATGGCGACATCACCCGTGGCCGTCGTCTGCGTCGGCATGGCAGGTTCGTCAACGCATCTCTGGGAGCATCGGCGGAATTTCGACACTAACTGTCTTGAATAGGCTCCGGAAAGACTACTTTCATGCAGAGAATCAACTCGCACCTTCACTCGAAGAAGCAGCCTCCCTACGTCCTGAACCTCGACCCCGCAGTCCACACCGTTCCCTTCGAAAGCAACATCGATATCCGCGATGCCATCAACTACAAGGAAGTCATGAAGCAGTATAATCTCGGACCGAATGGAGGCATCCTGACATCGCTCAACCTGTACGCAACCAAGGTCGACCAGATTATTGCGTTGCTCGAAAAGCGCGCCGCTCCGAATCCCGAGAACCCCGCCGCGAAGCCAATCAACCACTTTCTGGTCGATACCCCCGGACAAATTGAGGTCTTCGTGTGGAGCGCTTCTGGAAGCATTCTGCTCGAGACATTGGCCTCGTCGTTCCCTACCGTGATTGCCTACATCATTGATACTCCCCGCACGAGCTCCACCAGCACCTTCATGAGCAACATGCTCTACGCCTGCAGTATCCTTTACAAGACAAAGCTCCCGATGATCTTGGTCTTCAACAAGACGGATGTTCAGGATGCGGAGTTTGCCAAGGAATGGATGACCGACTTCGATGCGTTCCAGCAGGCGCTGCGGGAAGAAGAGGAGTCAGGCCAGTTCGGAGGTGAAGGCGGAGCAGGCGGCATGGGCGGAAGCGGATACATGGGATCTCTGCTCAACAGCATGAGCCTCATGCTAGAGGAATTCTACCGACATCTCAACGTCGTGGGCGTGAGTGCGATGACGGGCGAGGGCATTGACGAGTTCTTCGAGGCCGTCGAGGAGAAGCGCAAGGAATTCGAAAAGGACTATAAACCGGAGCTTGAGCGCCTGAAGAAAGAGCGCGAGGAGGAGCAGGCGAACAAGAGAGAAGTCGAACTTGGAAAGCTGATGAAGGATATGAACCTGTCCAGCTCAAAGGCTAAAGCTAAAGAGGAAGCCGAGACAGTCAGCGAAGCAGAGGAAGAGGAAGACGAAAGAGTTGCAGCAATGGGAAGGGCCTACGACCCGGATTCGGATAGTGACGAGGATTATGCACCTCCGGCCGGCGACGATGAGGGACTCAGCCAGCGATACCAGAGCGCACTGGGTGAGAAGGGTGGACCATCTAATGAAGACGCGAGCTTCATGCGATATCTACAGCAGAGCGATATCAACCGGTAGCATGCCTCTATACCGAGGTCATTTTGGCAGTACATTATTCGGGGTTACGGCGTTGGTCTGCAGTCACACTACACAAACATTACGCGATATGAAATACCAATTCTCAGAACATTCTCAAATTAATGTCTAGATCTACAAGTTATCCTTCAGCCTAAAAGCTCACGTGGCTGACGACATCATAGTCCAGCAGTTCATGTGTTGCAGTGCGGGCAGTTCGGAGTGACATCATCCTGACAGCTTCAGACTCTCTTATTTATCCCAGTCTTCCCCCAAGCTTTTTCTCCTCACGAACACTTGAATTTCGATCTCACAATCTAAGCAAAAACCAATCATGGATGTATGCGACCCTCCTTCCAGCCCAGGAACGATCTCGCTAACAGCCCAGGTCTTCTACGCCTACACCTACTCAACATCAGCCTGGCTGGCCCTGCAGAGCGCCGCTCTGATCTCCGTCCCGCAAGGGATCTCGGCCATGCTTCTTGAGGAGACCCGTCCTGCGACTCGTAAGCTCCTCATTGATTCGTTGTTCTTGCACCCTGTACTGATGGAGTGACTCTAGCAATTGAAGTCTACTTCGCCCGCTGCCTCGGCTTCAGCCTCCTCGCGCTCGCAACCCTTACCTTCATGCTCACCGGCAACATCCCTCTCACATCCGGCCTCTCTGACCCCCTCTCAAGCGAAGACCCAGAGTCCGAGGACGACCCGAAAGCGCCGTATGCGGTACCGACGCTAGTTGTGACGTCTGCCTTCCACGCGGCCTCGGCATTCTACGCATACACTCGCTACGTTGTCAATGCCAAGGGTGTGTTCCTCATTGCGATGGTCGGATATGCCTCTGTTGCAGCTGTCGGACTCTGGTGCGTGCTCTTTGCCAGCAGCCATGGACGCATTAGCAGGAGGACTGGGGCCGACAAGCGCACGGCCGGGTTCCCGTTCGGCAACAAGGCCAGCAAGAAGAAGCACGAGAAGGGACTATAAATCGGTGATAACGTGACGGAGGACGGAGCATGCCGAGAAACGTAATCGGGAGTTTCTATGGCGTATCTATCATTCGCTATCTGCAGGCACGGAGAGCTCGGAAGGCTAAGCTCCAACTGCAGATACGCTGTGGGGATGCAAGGCTTGTTCTGGTGGGTCGTGATCGGCACAGCGATAACCATTTTCATTGTTGAATGAAAATATTTAAACCAGCGTTTCCCTCGTAGAGGATTGAGTTCTGTAGAGATTGTAGGTTGCGCAAGATGCAGGTCAAGTCCTTTGTCGCCGGGTTGCTGCTCGCTTCCGCTCTGCCTTCGGGCTCGGGGGCCTCCTCCTCCTCCATCGACATCCTTCGCCAGCCCAAGCTCTCCCCCAAGGTCTTCATTGTGTCCATGTTCACCCCCGAAGCCGAGATCTGGCACGGCATCCCCGAGTTCAACCTGCTGGCGCACAACATCTCGCTCCCCGGCCTCTCGCCCCTGTTCCCCTCCATCCACTGCACGGCCAACCATGAGATCTGCCAGCTCGTCACCGGCGAGGGCGAGATCAACGCGGCCACCACCATGTCTGCCCTGCTGTACTCCAACACCTTCAACCTGACCAGCACCTACTTCCTCCTCGCCGGCATCGCAGGCATCAACCCAGAGGTCGGCCCCACAGCCTCCGTCACCTTCGCCCGCTTCGCCGTGCAAGTCGCGCTGCAGTACGAGTTCGACGCGCGCGAGATCACCGCCAACATGCCGACGGGCTATCTCCCACAAGGCTCCACCACCACCGCGGCGAACCAGTACCCGTCGTCGATCTACGGCACCGAGGTCTTCGAGCTGAACGACGCCCTGCGCCACATCGCCGCGACCTTCGCGAAGAACGCGACGCTCGCCGACTCCGACGCCGCAAAGGCCTACAGACAGCTGTACAAGTCCGACAGCGGGATCTACGATGCCGCTACCCAGGACCCCCTCGTCCTGGAATGCGACACCTCCACCTCGGACGTGTACTTCTCCGGCCGCCTGCTGAGCGAGGCCTTCTCCAACACCACGAAGACCCTCACCAACGGCCGCGGCACCTACTGCACCTCGCAGCAGGAAGACAACGCGACGCTCGAGTCCATGCTCCGAGGCGCCCTTGCGGGGCTTGTCGACTTCAGCCGCATCATCATCATGCGCACGGCGTCGGACTTTGAGCGCCCGCCTCTCGGCGAGTCGCCGTTCATGAACCTGTTTACCACTGATGCGCAGGACTCGTTCACCCCTGCGACGGAGAACCTGTACCGTGCTGGTATTAAGGTTGTTGAGGGCATCCTTGATAACTGGCACGGTGGGTTTGAGAAGGGCGTCAAGGCGAGCAACTACATTGGTGACATTTTGGGAACCCTCGGTGGCGAGCCGGATTTTGGACCGGAGGCGCAGAAGGTTGTGAAGAGGGCTATGGCGGGTAAGAGGAGGGCTGGTAGGTGGTAGGTTATTGCCTCCCGACCTATCCATGTCGCTTGCTTGGGCTGAGGATGTGTCCTTGTGCTCTTGCCTGCCCGTCTCCTCCGTTGAGCGCCGGTTACATTGCCCGCGGGCTTTATATATACTCACTGCTCTCCACTAGAGGCAATACTTGTTTGATCTACAGATACTGCACCTTTGGTGTCTTGTGATATATAATGTATATAGATGACCGACAACGTGTATAATTATCTACCTTTACCTTACGACTGATTTTGGCAGGGTAACAATACCACCTACCATTATTTCTCATGAAACTGCCAAACTCCACCAAAGCCCAACCCGGCTTCTAGCACGGCCAGCGCCTTCCTAACTCATTGTACCTACCACAACACTGATACGTTGATCAAGAATACCCCTGTTTAAACGTCGACGGAAAGACCCTGGCCAAATACTCCTCTACCGTCTCGCATCTCCCCCCAAACTGCACGCGCGTCTGCATATCCGGCACAGTCCAGTAACTTAGATGGAAACCCGACGACCCCAGCGGCCTCTCGACGTAATGCACCGCATGCTTGATCCCGGCGTCCCCAAGCAGTTTCCGCAAGAGATTCCCAGCGACAACAACGAATTCCCCAGTCTGACAACCCGCATCGATGAACGGCGCCGTATGCTGAACTTCTGTGGCTGATATCTTCTCCGTCCCCGATATCCCCCGGAGGTCCGCGACCTTTAGTCCGCCATGGGAGTCTGGGAAGTTGAAGAGCAGGGTTGTCGGGTCGATATGCGCGGGGACGCGGAGGAGCTCCTGCTCGCGAGAGCACGGCGCGAAATACGTAGGGGCGAAGAACGAGTTTTCCCTGCTATGGACGCCTGTCAAAGAGCTCGGGGATAGGCTCAGCGAGGACTCCAGGCACTCGAGCAGCGGGCGATGGATGCTGCCGCATGCCTTGTGCAGGTCTCGCGCTGAATCAATCAGGTCTTGCGCCTCGGGGGACATGGATAAGGCGGCATCAGCAGCTACATCGAAGATGGCGTCTCGGAGCTGCAGGACTTCTTCGAGATGAGGCTCCCCGCGCGTCTTCTCCGCCCCGTACGGCACGAACCGCGCCATCTTGATGCCCACCGGGCTGGACCTGGCGCGCTCAGCATCGGCGATCTTCTCGCTGGCGTCTCGCTCGAAGAAGGCACGGCACTGTCCGATATTAGCTCGCCGTCAGGATTCTTGGACGGAGCACTCACCCTCTCGAAGCACTTGTCGATTCCTTTCTGCGGGATCCCATGGTCGCGGATCCTGCACGCTCCGTAGTCCCTGAGTGCTTGGGTAAATTCCCCGGCTGTTTTATCCCGGTTCTCGGGGTTGTTGTGTTCTAGATCTGCGTAGCTAACTACCGGCAGATGATAAGGCCCTGTGTTTGAACCCATGGTGTGTGAAGACCTAGTTGTTCAGCAATGGCAGGTGAGGTTGAAGCGCAGTGATGTGCGTAGGTTGGGTTCTAACCCATCCATCCTGCATAACACGTCATTCACCTGGTACTGCAGGCCAGCTGCATGATTCCATAACCAACCATATCGAACTCGAAAGCAAAAGCAAATACAGATTGCAGTCAAGAAGGGAGTATATAAACAGCAGCATTGGAAAGGTTAGGGCTAACCTAATCTACGCTAATCTACGCACAATACCAGTATACCTAGACCTTGACACTCAAATCACATAAATCAGACTCTATCACACATGAATCAAAAACAGGTAGACAAACTGCCACATGAACCTCCTCCCGCGCCAATCTTCAGACACCAACAACCCCGTAACACGACTGCCTGGCACACCTGACATCCTAAGCACATGGTATAGTGGTTAGGTACGCACCAACATCAACGAACTCCAGCCCACCTAATACTTCCAAACAAGATACAAAAAGTCCCCACCCCTCCCCTCATTGATATCCCCCGAAACCCCCTGGAAGCCCAGCGCCTGGACCGCCGCAAAATCGACCCCGTCCCCGCGGCGCAGCAGCTTCACCTCGCTGATCTTGGCGCCGCCGTCGCGCTCCAGGCGGAGATAGCGGTAGTCGCCGCCGGCCCCCTTGGCCAGGTCGTAGTAGGCGGAGTCCGCGTCGCCCTGGATGATGATGCGGATGCTGGAGGCGGCGGTTGCGGCCGAGCCGTAGGTTGGGATCAGCCAGACGAAGCTATTGGAGTAGGGATGTCAGGTGGGATTTCAGTAGAGGAGGAGGAGGGGGTTAGGTAGGTATGCGTACTCTCCGCCAAAGCCGGCGTTGATGTCGGCGCTGGAGCCGTCGACTGTCTTGATGCCGGCTGAGGGCTCGCTGCTGGGGTCTTCGCCGTAGCGGACCTGGGTTGTGTTAGGTGGCGCCGGTGGTTGTTGGTAGGATGGTGGGTAAGGAGGGAGGAAGGGACTTACGTCGATGGATTGGAGGTAAGGCATTGTTTAGTGGGTTGGTCGATTGGTTTGACTTAGGGGTTGGAGATGAAGATCGCTGTTGAAGAGGCTTGGGCTGGAGGTGCTGGATTGCGATTGTGAAGGGGGCAAACGCCGGCTTTTATATTGCATTTCTCTCTTGTCTTCACTGTGCAAGGTCTCTGGCGGTGTATGGAATCCATGGATGGATGGTTACGCTCATCGGCTGGGTCTGGTTGCTGAGCTGAGGCCGGTGCGTCCCAGCGTGTATAGAGAAAGCATGGGTCTATACAGCCGCCATCCAATCAATAAGGAAGACTGATCGCCAGGCACGCTAGCACCGTCGCTCTGGGGTTGCATTGACGATCAGCTGGACATCCAGACGCGTCCAAACCAGACTACGTAGGTAGGTATCCATATCTGGTGCCCTGCTGCACGCTTCAGCCCGAGGTGACGTTAGCACAGCGCTCAATGTAAATGAACTTCATGAGTTATAAGCAATATTACGCTTTGGACCCTGCTGCATGCATGTTTGCTGCATCTCGTATTCATCTAATGCCCCCGTTCGATTGGTTGGCGGCTCGGCTCAGATTGCTGAAAATGAGAAGACGGCGGGGCGCAATCGGGCTGCTCAGCCTTAAATCCCTTGAATCGAGGACTGGACTGATTGATTGGTGGTACGGTAACTTGCGCAGAATGGCCAGAGTCCAGACGGGCCTGCAGGCTGCCCGGTATGGGGACCTCATGCTTAGGGCTATTGTTCTAGGGCCCTTCTAGGTATACGTCAAGCAGTCACTTCCAGCCCTAGACTAGAACTACCACAGGATCATCGGAGTCCCCGAGTCACTGTGCGCAAGCTAGAGCAAGCCAAGCAGAGGCCTGCTGGTCCTTGGCTGCATTGGCGCATACCCTACTTCCCGTCTGGGAAGGACGGGATGGACGGGGCGAGTGCCCTAGCTTTGTCTACGCGGTGGTACGGGCTGGAGAACAAGTCCATCGTACATCGAGGAAACACGATAACAGTAGTCCCCTCCACGTCCTGTCCCGCTGGTGGACTTTGCCAGAGCAATATGACGCTCCAGTTTGTACATGTCCTGTACCGCCGGGCATGGCGCCACAATCCTTTCGGCCGGCAGCTGCAGGCTCTTACATGACGCGGAATAAAAGAGCCAATCCAACTTCGGTGAGCCTGCGCGGCGAAGGTTACAGTAATATGGCAGTGAGGCAGGTGCTCGTCGCGCCCGGCGTTGCCTGCCAAGGGCTTCTAGTCAAGCTTATGACGATGCCTTGGGTAGGGAACGGTAACTCAACGAGGAGACAGTATCAGCGCTTGACAGTGCGAAAACTCTGACGGCAGGGTTGCAATGCATGGTCTGACTTGTAATGGAGACCGTTCAGCTGCACCTGCAGTCACCTTCCCATCAACCCTCTAGTCGTAGAGGCTGAGAACCTGAAGACGAGTCTAGACTCTGTTAAGGCCTGCTCCTTCCTAATCTTGACAGCCCGTGGCTATTCCTTACGGCAAAGTTCATATAACCTTAGAGAAGGCCTTTTCCCCAAATCCTCATTTTGACCTGAACTACTGCGCCATGACGGCACGCACTCTACGGAGGACTAAATCGACAATCGCGCAAAAACTCCACTTTCAATGTATGCGCTAGTATCCTGCCGCCAAAACCAGTATATATAATTGGTAGATGCACACACCGCCTTGAAATTTTGGTAATTTACTTAAGAGGTCCAATTTTTAATTTTTTTTAATTTTTCCTAATTTTTCATATTTTTATTATTATTTATTTTTAGGCTTATTTTTTAATTATTTTTTTATATTTTTTTATATTT